CTTCAGAGTCTTCCGACTAGTTGTCATATTGCATTTTTGCTGAAAATAACCTAATGACAAATAATGTTTCCAAGTGAGAATCTCTCAAAAAATATTCTAAATGATTGTTTCAATATAAATGGAGAGAAATTATTATTATTGGTGAATCATTGTTTAGTACATGGTGAACTCCCATCAAAATTAAAGTATTCCACCATTACTCCTGTACCAAAAGTTCAACATTCTCAGCTGTATACAAATATGCGACCGATTAATGTCTTGCCCATTGTCGAGAAGCTGTTCGAAGGGATAATATACGAACAAATCATAGAATTCATTGAAGAAACCAAAATTTTGATAAAAAATCAAGCTGGATTTAGAAAAAATTGTTCCACAGAAACGGCCATCCAAATGGTGGTGGAAGACTGGAGAAGCAGTATAGATGAGAAAGAATATATTGTAACAATATCTTTAGACTTCAAAAGGGCATTTGAGACTATAGATAGGGACAAATTGTTGATGAAATTGCGTCACTATGGCTTTAAAGGATCAGTATTACACATTTTACAAAAATATTAGTAAATAGAGGTCAAAAACTAACAACTAACAACTAAACTTGGAAATATTGTGTCAAGTGTTCAAAATATATTAGTAGGGGTGCCACAGGGGAGTAAATTAGTGCCGTTACTATTTATTATTTATCTAATGATATTCTCTGACATTTTATAACACTGTAAAATTCAAATATTTGCGGACGATACACTTATATATATATAGCATATAAGCATTTTGACACTGCTTAGAACTGTTAAATAGTGATATTGAAAAAGTTATGAATTGGTTAAATGTTAATAAACTTAAATTAAACACTATAATAAAACAAAATGTATGTCAATAGGGAAACCTTAGGTGACAATACAATTAGGCTCATGATTAGTGATGAAAAAATTGAAGTAGTCGAGTCATTTAAATATCTTGGTATATATGTGGATAGTAAGCTACTATTTCACGCACATTGTGAATACATTATTTCAAAAATATCGAAAAAGATAAATTACTTCTATAGAGTTTCCCATAATCCTAGTATGTATTCCAAAAAAATTGTGTATAACACTATAATTCTTCCCCATTTTTATATTGTTCAACCATCTTGTTACATCAAATGAAAACATATTTCAAATTACAAATTCTACAAAATCTTCTATGAGAATCATTTTAAATGAAAACAAATATGCTAGGATTAACTCTATGTTAGAAGAACTGCAGTGGTTGGATGTAAATAAATTCAGATATGTTCTCGTTTTCATATTCAAATTAAAAAATCATTTATTATCACCACATTTAGAGAACAAAATTAATTTATATATTTATAACTACGAAACTAGAGGCAGTATAGATTTTCATCTGCAAAATTGTAATAGTAGCATAAATAGTAAATCTATATTTCAAAAGGGAGTATTTGAATTTAATAAATTGAATAATGATATTAAACAGAGTTCGAATTTAAAAATGTTCAAGGTGAAATTAAGGAATCACTTTATGAATAATCAAAATACATAGTGACGTAATTTTAATTTTAATAGACAAGAATGTAAAATTACAGAAAATGGATTGAAAAAAAATATGTAACCGAATCATTATACAAAACTGACATTGCAGCATTAATGCTAAATAAATCTTCAACAACAACAACAACGTCATGGTAGGTAGCTATCCGCTGCAACCTTACCTGATAGTTGTTTCGCTACCTTAGCATTTTCATGAAAAGGTTAATCTTGCCGTATATTGAAGTAAATATATCTTTTTCAACGTAACTTACCATATCCTCAACAGTATAAAATCCGCTGCTAGTTCTTCCACCTTCAATATATGTGATAGGAGTGTCAAATAGTGCCAAAAATTCTTCAGATTCATCACCCTGTTCCTCTCTGATTGTACGACACTGAGCTCCAAGGTAGTTGCGAAGATTCACCTGCGTGTATGCAGAACATGCTCTTTTATCCAACTATCAAAGAATAAAAAAAATAGCAAATCGACGATCGTTAAGAACCAAAATAGTCATACAATAAACCAAAAAATCACACCTTCGTCTACTTACCGGGGCTTTTTCGCCGATCCAAAAATAAATTTCCCATTCAAAGACTGGTTTTCATCCAAAGACGTTTTCAAAACAATGTAACAATCTGCTTCATAAAATTTCCCGTGAGCTGCGTCTACAATTCGATTTGGGTAGAAATTTTCAATTTCCCATATCGTCAGGGCCTGGTGCTTGGCCGGCCATGTCTTCGAAAATTTCCGAGTAATCTACTGGAGGTTTTTCCAAGGCTTCGTCCCATCGTTTAGGCCTGAGAAACACATAATTTACTCGCAGACAAACTATTTGATAGATAAATGCGAAGATGTGTAAAATATTACGCAAATTTTGACCTCCCAGAAAAACTTTGCAGATGGCAGCAAGAGGGTTCTCTTCGTCATCTCACAATGTGAACTCAGGTGTTACCTAGGGATGGATCTTGGTTCCGACATTGTTTCAATTACGTATCAACGACCATCTCACCTGTACGATCATCCGATCGACAAATTTGTAAATGCCAGCACTCTCAGACATTCAGAGTCCTACTGTCACTTCACATGTATAATAATCAATAATATATATATATATATATATATATATATATATATATATATATATATATCAAACAATAATCACTTTTTACTTACTTTAAGCTTTCTGCCTTAGCCTCTTCTTGTGTGCTTCTGTTTTTCTCCTTAGCAATATCTTTCATTCCCTACAAAAAGTACCTTTACATAAGACAAATCTCAATAAACCATTTTCACCTTTAATATCTTTGCTTGATCCTGATCTGCTTCCTCATGATCTCGTCTACCTCTTCTCAGTCTCAATTTTCTTGCTATCGGATCTTTACTAGGATCTGCAGAAATGAAAAAATTAAAATCATGAGATTAATACTATCATTTTTCTACACTTACTCTGTGCTGGAGTTTGTTGCGGTATATTAGCTCCAGCCAATCTCAGTTGGTATTGTAAAGAAAAATCGATGTTGTAAAATTCCAATCCTGCCCCTCTGACATTCTCAACAGGTTTTGGCGGCATCACCAAATCTGGGTTGTTCCTCAAGTCCAGTTGGACCAAATCCGTGAGAAAATGGATTGCGTCTGGCAGAGTTATCAAACAGTTTGAGCTCAGATTCATTTTTTTCAACGACCCACACCTGAAGCAAAAGAAAATGAGTTAGGTCGATTCAATTAGTACGATGTAGTAATCAAGATTTTTAATCTAAAAAAATGATCATTTTCCAAAGAGGTTTTGAATTTTAAAGTGGAATGAAACAAAAAATAGTATCTGGAAGATTAAATGTCTTTTAGTACAATTTTAGTGCAATGGCAAAAAGACGTAGTTTTTGTGAGAACCATTAGTGCACTATTCGAACTTTTCATGAAAAAGAAATTTCCTCGGATTGCAATGAGCATGGCCGTACACGGTAGCCTCATTTATTTGACGCTGTGGTGTAAAACTTTGTCAACAATGCTTGATATCTAATTAGAATAGCTTCTTGATACCTGCTTATATACCACATATACAGGGTCCGTCAGAAAGAACGCATGTTTTTAAATGTACAGTCAAAATCAGTATGGGAAAAAATATTTTATTATATCAAAATACTCAGAAATACATGCCATTTTTTGAGTAAAACAAATTTACTTTCTAGAAACTATGTCGGCAATATGGCGCCCTTGAGCCGAAATGCAGGAATCCTCTCCCTAAATGAGCCCATTGCGTCGGCCAGCATCCGTGCAGGAATTTGGGTTACTTTTCTTATTTACTCCTTCAAATCGACGTCGGTCCGAGGCTTGCTTTGGTAAACTTTTGATTTCGGGTAGCCCCATAAAAAAATCACAGGTCCGGAGAGCGAGGGGGCCATGGAATATCGCCATGACGTGAAATGAGACGTCCTGGGAATTTTTGGCGAAGAAGTTCCATCGAAGTGCGAGCTGTGTGAGATGTTGCCCCGTCTTGTTGGAACCACACTGTTCTGAGACGGACACGTCGACGTCGAAGTTCCGGGAAAAAAGTTGCTCAGCATGTGGATGTAACGCTCTAAATTCACAGTAGTTGTTTCTCCATCATCCTCAAAAGGGCCAATAATCATCGTTGGGCCTACTGCACACCAAACTGTAACTTTGGGGTATGCAGGAGGTGCTCATGCAACTGTTGGGGGTTCACTGGAGACCAATGTCGACAATTTTATTTATTGACGTATCCATGTAAATGAAAATGTGCTTCATTACTCATAATTAACACGTTGTGCATGATCCCCTGGCAACAGTTGTTGACAAACTTGGATTTTGTAAAGATAGAACATTAAATCCTTCTTCAAGATGCGACGTACAGAGGACGCGTGGATCCCTATGGAACTGGCACGCAAACGGACGGAACGATTCGGGCTTTGCCGCATGTCAACTCTCACTCTTTCTACGTTTTCGGGGGTTCTAACAGTACGGTTTCTCCTCGGTTTTTTCTTCATCACATTACCTGTTGTGTTGAATGCTTCCACCCATCTCAAAATGATGTTACGGTCTGGTACTGTCCCACGACGTGGAACGCGAAACTCACGTTGCGTTCGAACGACAGACTCGCCATTTTGAAAGTACCGACGTACAGTGAACACACAATACTCAACGTTGCAAACCATCTTGCCAACTGAAACGGCACTTTTCCCACTATCCAATACGCCCTTCCCCACCGACACGGGACCAGCCCACTCGATGTAGTACCCGTTCGAAAAACATGCGTTCTTTCTGACGGACCCTGTATAATGATGTTTCACAAAATCAAGTAACCTCATAAAATTAAGATCTAAGCATAATTCTCATATATTTAGATAACATCATGCCCACCTCGTAGGTGCATATCGCATCACGTGCTACATTCTTTTTCACGCGACGAATCTAAGAACGCAGCTAACCGCTAGAAAAGGAAATACTGGTGCGGCAAACGCCACAACTCCTCCGTTCTTCCTCAGATTGGAGTGCACCTCGTAATTTGGGAACCCAAGATGATTAACCGGTGTAGAATCTGAGGTTTTTGTCTCCGACAAAGAATGCATGGCAGGAAAATTAGACTGCAGATAGTGATGGACAGCATCGATGGTGAAGTTAACCCTGCAGATGTTCGTGGAACAAATTTAAGTGTGGAAACATGCGAAGATTCTCAAGACACCGTGGAAAAGCTAGCGGGTGGTACAGCCTCGGTCGACTGGTCCTTGTCCACCACCTTCTTTTTGTTTGTTAATGATGTTGAATAGACCTAAAGGAGTCCCGTCACCGGACTTGTACCGTCTCCCGGAAATCGGTACTGATAAATTCCTTAACGCGTGTATATAATGTGTCAAATAGGTGTGTAGAATTGCAGGGGTTCGAAGTGTATTAATATACATAGTAACAACAAAAAATTGCAATACACCCTCCTCTACCTCCCTACAACCCCCACCACCCATTGTTTACCCAACATTTATTACAGAATAATCAAGATCCTCTGAAACGTCAAAAAACGAAATTTGAGCGAGATTTTGTTTTTTTAGCTATCGGCATTTTTCCTCGCCGTCACTAGACCGATTTAAAAAAGCTACAAAGCTTTTTTGTACTTGTGAAAAACGTCATCTAAATCCGAGCAATACTTTCCAAGATTTCTGGACAGATCGAAAAAAAGACCACCAGACAGATCGACGGAAATGAGTGTCATGGATTTTCGTAATGTACGTAGTCATGCCATAAGTTCTGTCCCTCGTTTTCAAACAAGTGTAGACCTGTTAATACTTGTCCGATTGTTTACATTGTGGTGTCAGTTGATTAAGCGCTTTTCGGGTAATTACATATACCTCAGTTTGTATTGATCTCTCGAAGCATAACGATGGAGTGGGGCAAGGCAGAGAACCGTATTGCAGTGATAGCTTTACATAAGTGTAATCACAGTGCTAGTCAGATTTTTGAACTCTTACGCGGCCTTCAAATATCGCGTAAATTTGTGTCTAGGACCATTCAGCGGTACAATGAGACGTCCTCTGTTGATGACAGGCCAAGAAGCGGAAGACCTCAAGTAAGGACTCCAGCAGCCATCAAAGCCGTAAAAGCCAGGATTCAAAGGAATCCACTCCGGAAGCAGAAGATCCTATCCAGGGAAATGAAGATTCCTGTCCGGACGATGTCGCGCATCATTAAACAAGACCTAGGGCTAGGGGCTTACCGGAGACGTACGGGCCAGCGACTTACGGCCACCTTGCGACACATCAGGGCGACAAGATCCAAGAAGCTCTTGGAGAGGTACGCAGCTGGGGGATTCCGAAAGATTTTGTTCACGGATGAGAAAATCTTCACCATAGAAGAAAAATTCAACCGACAAAATGACAAAGTGTATGCAAGGAGTTCACAGGAAGCTTCGGAGATCATTCCGAGAGTTGAGAGAGGCCACCACCCTGCGTCAGTCATGGTTTGGTGGGGGGTGTCCTACGAAGGGGTCACTCAGCTCCATTTCTGTAAACAGGGCGTGAAAACAAAAGCGGCAAACTATCAGAGCGACATACTGGATCCTATCGTCAAGCCTTTAAGTGGTACATTGTTTGCCAACCAACACTGGGTCTACCAGCAGGATTCCGCCCACGCTCACAAGGCTAAGAGTACGCAGCGCTGGCTGGAAAGCAATGTGCCAGAGTTCATTGCTGCGGAAGATTGGCCCTCAGGGAGTCCGGACCTCAATCCTTTAGACTACAAGTTGTGGGACCTGCTAGAGCAGTTGGCCTGCTCCAAAGCCCACCGTAATATCGAGTCCTTGAAAGCGGATTTGATCCGATCAGCGGCAGCTATTCCTTTGGAAGCTGTGCGTGCAGTGATAGATGAGTGGCCCGCGAGATTGAAGCAGTGTGTGAAGGCCAAGGGGGGACATTTTGAATAAAACTGTTTGATTATGAATTCTAAAAATGTTGTCGAATAAATAATATCTTTCATATAAATATATCTTATCTTGTTTCATTTTTATCATGAGATTATCATGGGACAGAACTTATGGCACGACTACGTACATGTCATATAACTCCAAAAAAAAAACATGATACCCTTCTTTTTTTTATTTCAATACTTCCTTCGTCAGTAGGCGTGGGAAGTAAAAATGATATCTTACCTGCAAAGTCCCTCTGGAATCATCTCCAAGCGATTATGTGAAGCTGAAAACACTTCCAAGCTACCTAGTTTCCCAATACCAGAGGGTATACCCTCAAAATCCAGTTGGTTGTCATTTACGTACAATCTTCTCAAAAATGCCAGCTTACACAAAGAACCCGGCAGACTTGTTAGTTTGTTGCGTGAAAGGTTGAGGGTTTCTAGCTTCTGCCAATTTTCTATCGCTATAAACGTAAACTGATTTTTAGTTTCGTTTGGTATGTTTATTCTAAGTTTCAATTGAATGGTAAAGAAAGACGATATGGGAAGCTTTAATCAAAAAGTATATTTCAAGTGTTTTACTTGTTTTTTTGGAAGATATGTGGCAAAATTGGTAAAGTTCAAACGTAATATTTCGCACTCTTTTAATGCACATCATCTCAAATACATTTACCCATCAAACGATCTAAAAAGACGAAGAGAAACTGCATCATTCCTGAAAAACGGATGTAAAAAATCTATTTCAGTCCATAAAAATACAATATTGTCTATTTGGAAAACACCCTGAATAAACCTTTAGATGTAACAATAAAGACGTCTTGATAGAGTCCTACGATTGTCATAAAATGGTGACATTCCAGTATAATCCTGAAAAGCCAGTGGGAGTAAAAGATCCTATGTATTTTGGAAACTATTATACGATTCCGAACCCTACCGCAGTATATGGGTACATTTACGTAAGAACCAATATGGGTATATGTCCGCCTCACTACACAGTATACAAAAGATGGTCCCCTGTCTTTTACTATGTGAAACCCTACAAGCCGCATGCTGATACATGTAAGTATTTTCAATATATCAGAGTCACGTCCAGCGAATTTGAACTAAGTAGAAAGAGCAAGTATGCGATTTTGAATCCACGAAATCGTAGTCAGGGTACAAGTACATACTATAAAGTCAATCAGGCTCAAGCTGTCAGATTGACAGTTGTTGACCCTTCACATAAAATTCGTATTTTTCTGTGAAACCCTATAAATACGCGTGGTTTTTTATAGTTCTGGTGTTGTAGATAATTTCCAAAAATAGTAAAGGTCTGTGTGGACTACAAAAGGCAGTTTGTTCTGAGCAAAAGCGGATTTCTTAATCGGTAATCGTTATGCTGTTTCGCATGCATTGAGAAATGTGACAAAGACTGCTGGAACAACAGATGTAGCTGCAAATACCTGATATTGATGAAAGCATACAAAAAGATGCATAGGTTTTGATGGTGAGGGACGATTACCTGAAAAATATAAGAATTTTGCTTTTTGACCAAAAATGGATTACATCTAATGCGCCTTGTTTGTACAAAAGTGAAATATGTCCTTCTGTTTGGGAAACGATAGCTTAAGTCAAAATAAATTTATTTACCGATGCAAAAAAACTTTAGGTAGATTGAAAGAAAACGTTCATCACTGTCTTGCAGATACTAGAGAAAAATTTAAATTCTTTATCCTCACGCCATCTTTCTGTAGATAACTACACCAAAAGGTTATGCAGGCTTTCAGCATTTTCCTCTTTATTTTATGATTTAAAGGCAACCTTAGAAAACTTTTTCACTGCTTTTTTATTTTTTATCATAGTCATATACTTGACACTGGTATCGTCAATTCTGTTTTCACCGCTACCGAACCGTGTTTTGAGTTCCGTTTTATCAAGATGCGAATCTGATTGCATCGATTTTCTTGAAAGTGGACATAGCGGATTTCAAGCCACTTATTTCCCAGCCGGTCCAAAATTTTCAAACCAATATGACTTGAGAATACAACTCCCAGTATTTTCCTAGTGACTTCAGTGTGCTATATCTTGATCAACAATAATATGGTCTTCATCCATGACTAACACTGGTCCAACTGTTACGACACGATTACAAACTTGAGACACGTACCCAAACAAAAGCTTTTACTTGCCGCTTATGCAAAATACAGGTCACTGCGAACTGGAACGCAGTTCCAACAGACAGCTTGCTGTTTTCACTTTTGCAGTGGCCGATTCTAGTAAGAGATGGCACCTTGTGCTGTCTTATCTCATAGTCTTAGTTTTCATTCCAGTTAGTTTTTTGAGTGCTGAATCTCAATTTAAGGTTTGCTAATGGAGTTTCATATTTAACACACCATTGAAAAATACTAAGCATTGGAAACAAAACAGAATTTATTGTGAATACTGAAAAGGGCCAACAGGAGCTTTGGGTCTTATCTAAAGGAATGATCTTGATCTCGAGTTTATTCGTTTTATTAAGGAACAGCAGCACTTCCCAAAGATCTATTACACCAAATAAATTACAAAGTATGTATTTGCTTCCAGCTAATAATCTGCTCGGATCACACGCCATAACATAGATAGCAATTTAGAAAAACTAGTCGAGTTCAAGCAATGTACCTTATTTTCAAAATCAGGTATACTGCTTCTGTTTGATGAAGTAAATTTTTCGTACATTAACCTTCCAAAATTCCGAATTAGTCATGTTGTCCCGATAATATTTACTTTCATTTCTTCGCGTTCTTTGATTTCATTTTACTTTAAAGCAGTACTGCCAGTACAATTGGCTACTGGAATATCCTGTCCAAAGAAAATGTTCGCCAATTTATTGGTTCGTCTCTTTTTTTTTATACTACAAATACCACGAAGGCCTAAGGCCTAAGCACCCATTGGGTACCGTGGGGCTATAGGGGGATACATGGGAAAGGGGGGACGCCACACGGACTCTGGCGAGGGAACACGTGTGCATGCAACATGCACTCATTCTGGCTCCGCCTACGAGAACCGCCAGGTGGTACCTCCGCGTTCGACAGTCAGAGACCGTCTACCACCTACGGACAATCACAACATCCATAGCCAAGAGACAAATTTCTCCTGGGACGGGACTCGAACCCGCACAGCGCACGGCGACTGATCAGGAGACCGAAGAGTCTACTACTGCGGCCACCGTTGCTGCCTTTCTAGACATTGATACGCAAATCTACCCAGAAGTATGAACGTATTCGTAATTTTGGCGACAAACATTACCTTGTAAGCATAGAGGCTTGGCTCCTAACCCATATGAATTTGTTGGTGACACCATACATAATATACAATGCAGCTAAAGAGAGCAAAAATAACTACTAACCTGTAGACAACTCTGTAATTTCATTTTCACTTAAATTCAACCTTTTCAGATTTGCCAAACTGAACAGGGCATCAGGCACTTTAGGCAACGCATTTTGAGCCAAATCCACATCTGCCAAATTAGTCAAGTTATCTAGGTTACCAGGAAAGTTACTCAAGTTCCTTTGTGTGTTCCTGCATTATTTTGGAATAAAACATGAATCAAAAACGAATATTTCACAACTTTCATAGCACTATCTTAGAATATTAAATGGCATTATTTGGACCAAAATAAATGTTCAAATAATCTTGATATTAATAAAGAATCAAGGTATATAAGAGAGGGTTTCAATCCTGAAAATGATTAAAATTTCTAGTTGATCACATATATGAAATTCTGGCATTTAAATGTTTTAGAACTTTCATAAATATTTGTTTTCATTTTAGTACATGATTAGTAGGGGAACTATAAGAATATGGGAATTAAAATGACTTCCCCTTGACACCGCCCATATTTATATCCGTGCACATTGATATACTAAGTGACATATAAATCCGAACACCCAGTTTAAATGGTTTTATTTTAATAAAATTTTGTATAAGTACTTAATGAAGCATAATAAGTAAATGATAAAAATTTCAAAATGATTGCACTGCTTTAAAGCCCTTTGACCTTTAATAATGTGTGGATGCACCCTGATGTGCTTCGCATTCTCCAACGCGCCTAGGCATGCTTCTGATCAGGTGGTCAATGTCCTCCTGTGGTATCTCATTCCAGGCAACCACCAACTCCTCTCGAAGTGCTTCTAGAGTCTGAGGAGGACGTTGCAAATTGAGCAATCTCCTACCCATCATATCCCACACGTGCTCAATTGGGGATAGGTCGGGAGATCTTGGTGGCCATGGTAACAATGTGACATCATTATGTTGAAAGAAGTCTATTGTGACTCTTGCAACATGTGGTCGGGCATTATCTTGTTGGAAAGTTGGATCTGCCAGGGTGTCAAGATAGGGTAAAAGATGGGGTTCTAGAACTTCGTCGATATAACGCTGCGCGTTCATGTTACCTCTGATGAAGATTAAAGGCAACCTGGAACCATAAGCTATAGCACCCCAAACCACAACTCCAACAGTGTGATGAACATGTCTTTCAACAAAAAACTGTGGATTCCTCCTTCCACCACGTCGCCTTCTAACCCTGGCCCGACCATCGTGCATGCCTAAACAAAATCGAGACTCGTCACTAAAGACAATACTGTTCCATTCCTGATCCCAGAGTGACCGTTGTCTGCACCACTCAAGGCGATTACGTCGGTGTTCTCGAGTTAAAGGGAGTACCCAGTGTGGCCGGTATGAAAACAAGCCAAAACTTCTCATTCGTCGGTAAACACTTCGCATGCCAATAGGTCTTCCGTGTTCTGCAAACCATTCATTTGCAATGGACCTGGTAGTGGAGAAACGGTCCCTTAAGGCCAATAATCTTAGGCGGCGATCTTCACGGTCTGTTGTTCTACGGCGGCGTTCAGTGCCCCTTGCTCTTTGCGTACGGCTTTCTCGAAGCCATGCCTGACAATACCTAACCACAGTGTCTACACTTCTTTGCACTCTAACTGCAATTGCCCGAAAAGAAAGTCCAGCTTCCCGAAGTCCCAATATACGGCCCCTATCAAACTCACTAAGTTGACGAAATCGTACAGATCTCCGTACTCTAGGCATCGTAACCGATCTTAAACGATGTCAAGAACCAAAATCCGCCAACGTTGATTCTTTACTGCGGCTGAAATATTCATTTTTAGAGCGCTAGAGAATTAAAAAAAGCAGTATAAAAACCGGAATGTCCAACTGATAAGGCTGAAAATTTTTTCACTTGTTATTTACAGTAAGATAAATACATTCACCAACTTTTATTAAAATAAAACCATTTAAACTGGGTGTTCGGATTTATATGTCACTTAGTATACATAGCATGTTCCACTTTAGAAAGGTCATCACAGGAAGTCATCCGTGACAGAAGGATCAACTACTGTTCCGTCAAACATCCACGGTAACATGTGTATAACAGCCTTGTTCATGTTTAATAACGTAGTCCCGTGAAAATAAAATGTGAAACGCAGATTATAGCGTTTTAAAATTTAACAGACATACTTCCGAAGTACATCATTCAGTCATTTGAATCTTGAAATGTTTGCCCAAAATTCTCCCACTTTCGGATATTTACGACTAAGTTATTATTGTTAATAAACGCATGGTCGCCACACTTTTTACTTCAAATGTATGATAAAATACATGGGGACATAAAACATATACAGTTAAAACCAAATTTGTCTGACGGCTTGCGTACAATCTGTATGAGAGAGAAGCGCGATAGGTGTGTATGTTAGAAAGAGATAGAAGCTGGCAGGTCAGCGAAGGTCATCACCACGTTGCTTAGCATCGGTGACGCAGGAGTTCCTGCAATCTGCCGCGTTGCCAATATGTTACACCAGAAAATGTACTACTATTCGTCATCTGTTTGTCTGGGCGGTCCATAGGACCTTTGCCCAGAAACCAGACAATGTCAATAAAAAAGAGAAAGAGAAGAAAAAATAAGAAGAGCAAAGAAAAACAGAAGTGTATTAGTTTAAGAGGAAACACCTATATTTTTTTTGACTTGGTACACGGATTAATTTTGAGGTGAACTAAAAAGACATTTTGATTCAGGTTTTGTTAGAGTGTAATGTTAGGTTTACCAAAAGTTCGCGATAATTTTTTGATCACAGTGCGAGCCGTGGCCTTGAGCCACGCAACAGAGGGTTACTGTGCGATTCCGCTTGACTATAACGTCGCTGCGCCTGAAGCTTGAACTAGAAAATGTTTGCACAGGCTTCTATAATAATAATAATCTTTATTGATCATAGAAAAAATACACAAGTATTCATAGACATGCCAGTATTGAAAAAAGAAAAGTACAGTATCGCAGACATAAAAGTACTCTAACTATAATAAACTCGATATACAAAAAGTCACTAATATGATTTTACAAAGTCAAGCAAAATATCAAGAACATTATTAAATTATCCATTCAATTTAGTCTGCCTGTCTCTTGCCAAAGCATAATATTCCTCAAAACTGTAAATACAGGCCCTAGTTAATACAGATTTCAATTTACATTTAAATCTGCTCAGCTGAAGGGATCTCACCTCATCTGGCAACGCATTGTACAATTTGATTTCTTCACTGTTGGTTCTAGCCAATCTGTTTGTTGGAAGTACCAGATTATTGCAATGTCTTGTGTTGTATGAGTGAAAATCTGCACACTTAAAAAAGTCTAAAATGTTTTTTCTGGCATATATTAATTTTTCATAGATAATTAAGCCATACAAAGTTATTATATTTAATGATCTAAAGCAAGGACTACACGATTCATGTTGCTTTAAACTAGCAATGCACCTTATTGCAGATTTCTGAACTTTAAACACTTTTTCAATATGTATATTAGCTGCAGAGCTCCAAACTAAAAGTCCATAACGTAGAATAGAATCAACAAGAATAATAAGCTGTAAGTGCAGCTATTTCATTGACAGTATATTTTATTTGCTGTATAGCATAAATTGTCCTGTTTCAATTTATTACATAAAATATTTACATGGTCATTATACAACAGACTAGTGCCCAACACTACACCCAGAAATTTAGTTTTAGTCGTTTCTCCAACCGTACTGACAGGTTTAGTTTCAAAACAAAGAGTTTCAGTTTTTACTTCATTCAGAACAAGCTGGTTTGTGACATACCACGCCTTAGCCCGATCCTGGACGCTCCCAAGCATCCGCGCTGCGTCCACAATAGGTTAGGTTATTGTCAAACCCAAAAAGTCAAACATGTAATTCAATGTTTTGTTTTCATTTTGATTAGAATTATTGTTTCAATTTTGATGCAACTTAGCGTTTTAATTTGTCTTAGAATTACTTTTGATTTCTACTGATGGTAATAAAAGCAACACATCCTGAGTTGTTGTTACATTTTGCGACAGCGAGCGGTAGGAAAATGTAATAAATACCATTAGGCAATACAAATTATCATTGCCTACGTGTATGCAAGTAAAAACCATTACAAAGCAGGACGACAAAGCCGAGCGCTAGATAATGGGTACAGAATATTTGAGGCTAGGTTTTTTGTGCATCAATAACGATCCTCCACTGTGACTCTCTGGTCTATTGTGGCTCACAACTATTTATATTTCCCCCAGTAGCTCCGACTGAGGAAGTCGATCAACTTATTTGTGGAAATATCGTTCAGGTCTTCTGCTTGGAGTACTATGTCACCAAGTATGTTGTACCTGATTCTGGCAATTGCAGGGCATCTGCACAGTACATGCCTGACCGTTTCATTTCCCTTCACAGTCTGTACTCAGCATCTTCCACCATGGGCCGTCTGCTCCTTTGCAATGACCAGTGTAAAGTCCTACTAGAGCTTTGAGGCTATTCCTGTTCAGCCGTAGCAAAGAGTCTGTTACCTTCTTTGTCAAGATTGGTATAGTCGCCTTAGCATGGGTTAACCCTGCTAATCCCTTCCAGTATGGATCTTTCTGTCCATCTCTGCAGAGATTATTTGTTTAGCCGTATTGTATACAATCCCAATTGCTGGCTCAAGTCCTATGAATGGTGTGCTAATCCCACTCTGCCAGAGTGTCAGCTGTCTCGTTTCCCTCTACACTGTGTGTCCTGGTATCCATATGAGACAGACTTCTTTTTCCTGCAATCATCTTTGCAATTCCACACTAATTTCAATGTTGAGTAGGTGGAGCTTTAAGTGTGGCTTGACTACACAGAATAACCTAATGTATATTCTCAATAAGCACCTTAATTCAAAGAACTGGCGTAACACTGGCAACTCAGCAGCTTTGCTATCCAGCCAACTTCTATCTCTTTCTAAGATATGTGCCCATACACTCTTCGTTCTCATACACATTGAACTCAAGCTATCAGACAAATTTGTCTTCAGTGTATACAATTAAAAGTGTTGCTCCACTGTGTCTCATTATAATTGTGTATTGATTTGTTTTGTTTTTCTTAGCAGTGGAGCAAACCTTTAAAGTTCTTACAAATAAACCAATTTTTTACAGACTACTAATTAAACTGGTTTCAAAGAATTTTGCATACAAATATGAACCCAATCCTAATGCCTGCGGAATCCCTTTGTCATGTTATTGAACTACTCGTATACTATAAAGATTAAAAAGGATTATTCAAGGCAAACAATGTTTAAATGATTTTTATCACACTTGTACCTTACCTCATGTGTAGTGTTTCCAAGTTAACCAAAGATGGTAATTGTCGAAGTTGAAAATGTCCGAGAGGGTTGTTGTTCAATATAAAAGTTTGCAAATTGATCAGACGTCTGGTTTGTGGTGGTAGAGTCTCCAGATTATTGTCACTCAGATCAAGAAACAGCAAATCTGTTAGGTTTATGAACAGTGAGTTTGGAATTGAGTCTATGCTAAAAACAAGCACATGATAAGTAAAAATAGAAAAGTAAATTCAAATATTCACCTTTTTATACTTTGTATAAATAAAGCCAAATTATTAATATTATATGTTCAAGTAAGATGTAAGACATTAACAAGGTTTCTGTATAAGATAATGCAAACAATGAATCAGATTACTTTTCCTAGCAGATGTGACAATACCCAACTTAATTGTTACAAACATAATTATTATGATGAAGTTTCAGAACAATTCCACAAATAACAGTAAACTTACTGGTTATGGCTTAGGTTTAACACCAACAATGATTTAGCTTTATCTAAACCTTCAGGAACCTCTTTCAAATTATTATAACTAAGATCTAAAGTGCTAAGCTCTTCTAAATTAAACAATTCAGATGGAATCCCAGAACTTTTCACTTTGTTGTGCCTTAAATTCAAAGTTCGAAGGCAGTTTAGTTCAGTTAATTCCCCATAAAGTTTCTCAAGCTGGTTTCTTGTAAGCGATAAGTGCTCCAGTTTTAACAGGTTGCCCATTTCTTTTGGAATCTCTGTAAGATTGGTACGATCTAATTTGAGCCATTGTACCCCTGTCATGCATCTCACTGCCTCTGGAAATCTGTCCCCCTATAAAAATCCCACTCAATAAAATGAGGTTACACAAACGAATTTTCTAGACTTACGCTAAAATCGTTTCTAGTGAAATCCACACCCCTAACAAAAGGAAGCACCCCAGTATTTGCCATATTCTTTATTTGGACGCAATCTAGTCTCTAAATTTTAAAAATAATATTGGTTTTATTTAAAGCCACAAGATTATAAACATTCATCATACGGGTCACAAAACATACATTCGGAAGATGTTCGTTAATGTCAAGTCAAGTGTCATTTCGACGATCGAATAGAAGAGGAGCACGACGCTTATCTTCCCAACTAGTGGAGAAAAGGCGTAGCTAAATGGCGTTTTAGGCCCACGCCTTCGTTTTAACTCTATTTGAGAATAGAGTGTATCATCCGTATCATCTCTAACACACCTCCTTTTCTATATAAATCTATATTATTTTTTCAAGTGACAAGTTTGAGTTGTTTGACCACGTGTTTGTATTTTGGTTTAAAATATTTTTTGATAAAACGTCTTATAATGGTGAGAAAATTGAAATACCATGAACAAAAGCTCCTGAAAAAAGTAGACTTTATTAACTGGGAGGTTGACAATAACTTACACGAAGTAAAAATACTTAAAAAGTACCATATTCAAAGGAGAGAAGACTATACTACGTAAGTTAGTATTTTATCTCGTAATGTTTTATATGGAATGTATTTTCTTTTCAGATATAATAAAATAGCTAGAAATATACGCGAAGTTGCAAGGAAAATCAAAGAAATGGATCAAAAAGATCCTTTTAGGACAGAAGCCAGTGCACAACTTTTAGAGAAATTGTAAGATTGACCTTTTTTTTGTAGGCCTGTATTACAACATTCTGTTTTCTAGATACGTAATGGGGCTGATACCAACAAGATGGGATCTTAGTTTAGCAGAAAAAGTCACAGCATCATGCTTTTGTAGAAGGAGGTTAGCTGTAGTGATGGTGCGAAGTAAGTTCTTTTTCCTGTGTTCAAATCCCATTTCTTAAATATTGTTATATTCCAGATAAGATGTCAGAGACCATCAAAGGAGCTACTAAGTTAATAGAACAAGGACATGTTAGGATAGGGCCTGAATTAGTCAAAGATCCAGCACTGCTTGTGACTAGGACACTAGAAGATTTTGTCACCTGGGTAGATAGTTCAAAGATAAAGCAACATATTTTGGAGTATAATGGAATGGTAAGTTATACTGTGTCTTTATGCCTAAATTGATCATCTTTCATATATAATATTCATACACTTGGGTGAATAGACGAGATAAATTTACCTTATTTGGAACTATATCCTTCAAAACAAAAGTATGATTTTTCATACAACCCTTTGTACTAAAAAGGCCACAAGGTGGTTGAAATGTCAGTTAACTTTTTCTTACATCTGTGGTATCATTTGGTGGCAGTTTTGGCATTGACTGATGTTTTCTACCTGTGGGTAGCTAGTGCCAACTAATTTGAAAACAGCTAGTTGTTTGTTTTTCTACTATCTCATAGATCATAATAATAATAATCGTCTCTATTAGGAGCGAAGTTTATGATAGTGCTACTTAACCCCAAAAACAATGTATATAATACAAAAACACAAAACATAAATGATTTCAATGTTTCAATAATGAGCTTAAACGTAGGTATATAAAAATATGTTGCATATAAATATCTTGAATGAAAATATAGAATATTATATTAGGGGCCGTTCAAGAATTACGTAAGCAGATTTATTACAATTATTTACCCCCCATCCCCCTTGTCAGCAAAAGTAAGCAAAGCGCTTACCCCCTCCCCACATGCTTACGTAAAAATTTGTCAATTAATGTATTGTTTTTTTTTTTAATATTATAATTATAACTTTATAATTATAATCTGAAAAATAAGAAAATAGATTTAGGACAGAGATTATATTTTACTGGTACGGTATTCAACATAGAGTAAAGGACAAAAATATTATATCTTACTAACATAACAAACTTATTTTAAATTTTTGGTACATCTATTAAATTCATATTAACAGTCTTCAGTCCATGAAACCCGAATCCATGATTCTAAGTTTTCGATGACATTGGATTGCTTCGAGCAAGTATTGGCTCTCACGCACTCGTTCTGAATACCATTTAATGTCTGGAAAATCAGGAAGATCTTGTTCACCTGCCCCAACATATTTTGCATTAACATTATAGACATCAATTTCCATTGAACTCCATACTTCAGCTAATACATTTCCTGCAAATTCGAAATTAGATGTTTCTAAATGTTCATCAATTGTAACGCCACGTTCATCCAAATGAGACCCAAAATGGTCATGAGGCAATATTAAACCAGCCAGTTCCCGACTAAGAGGAGCCATTCTGCACTCTACTCTGTTATACGCACTTCTTCCAGGAGCATTGGTAGCTAAAAACAATGCATCGAGATCATGTCGCTTAAAGTGTTGTATAGCAAACCCTATGACTTTTTGATAACGTGGATTTTCGTCTGGCCCTCCATCAACCGTCATGATTACCACTGATTTTACTAGTCCATGGTCAGTTTTAGCTAATGGTCGAAACTCTTCAAGTTCGAGAAGCGTCTCGAAATCCTGAGCATGAGTATTAGCAGTAGATGAACTATGCTTTCCACTTCGAATAGCGATATATGTTGGTCCAGAATATCCAACGGCTTGCGGTTGTCCTAGCATATTGGAAGTGATTTTGATACCAGCATAAACAGATGGTATTAATTTATGACACTCAGCGATTACCCAATCATGATCAGGCAATTTGATTCTATATTCCATGTGCATTAGGTGCTTGCTTATTTGTCGCAGTTACGCAAATAGGGACTCGAGCTTTATCATCTTGAGATATGAAAAATACTTGATCTGGTCCAAGTATGGATGCTATGTTCTCTAAGTAATGGATTGATGTTTCAGCGAACTTGCTATCTAAGTGACTCTTGTGGTGATCAGTTTGAGCCCGAATCAGCTTAACAGGGACTGTCGATACATGTCTTTGTCCCTCTGCAGAATTAGATTTTCTGGGAGAATCAATCCAATCTGAGAACGTTCGGCGAGAAAAATGGTCGGCCCGACGCAGCTCTTGCGTCAATTGGATCTTGTAGGCGTGTACATTCAAATTCTTGTGGAGAATGCGGAGCAAACTGGTTCTCGAAATGCCCAATTCTTGGGATCGACGCGTTGTTGATTGTTTCGGATCGTCTCTCACACTCTCCTTCACAACAGCAATATTTTCGGGTGTGCGAACGCTCCTTGGCCGGCCAGAGCCTGAAAGATTTGCCACAGAACCTGTTGCCTCGAATTTACGCACCAGACGACCGATGGTTGTTTCGTTTGGGCGGTTGTTGCGACCGAAATGTTCACGAAGCGCGCGAAACGTGTCTTTTATTTTTGCACCATTTTTGTAGTGCTCTTGAAGAACTTTAATGCGGTCTTCAATCGAATACGACTCCATAGCGATCAATGGTAAACATTCAACTAACACAATGACATGTCGGTGACAGAAAACAAAGATGGCGTCTATGTCAAATTGACGTTTACTTTCCTGCGTCCCTATTGGACAACCCTTTATATTAGAATAACTATTCTTCAAAGATTTCTTTCTATTTCAGAGGGACGATTTTGTGCTCTGAAGGAAGAACTACGCAATTTATTGAATTTATGAGTGAGACATTTTAAAAATTGTATATTTAATTTTATATAAAAAATACATGCAATCTTTGTGTATTATTTTTGTTTATAAACATTGAGAATCAAGCTTAATTTTTCTAAATGCTCTGTTTGTGACCAAGGCGCAGGGACGCGTATCAAAAGTATTTCTCTATCGTTTTGAGGCAAATGTACAGGTAAATCTATGATATGTGTGGAATATGTCTAATAGGTGGGTAGAATTACCAGTATGTTTACTAATTGTTGTAAAATTTTTTATCATTTATATATCCTGACTAAACATAAAACAATTATTGCACTGTTACGAAAGAAGTTGTTTTTAAAAAAAAAATAAAAGTCCTACAGAAACCAAGTTCAATAATAAATTGAAAAATAAATATCTGTATTTTGCGTTCATCGTCATGATATTAGAACACGCATTAATAATTTATTGTCGCAAATGTTGTACCAAACTGACGAAAACAAAATACCAGGAATTTTTTGTTTTTTCATACTGATAAGAACGTGTAAATAAGGTTTAATCTGTATCGTGGGTGATCCGAATGAGGAACGGTCGATTTTTGTAAAGTTAAATAAGAAAATATTTTGCGAGTTTATGTTTTTAGTTATTTATTAACAAAAATGGCATATGTGTATTCTAATGAGGAGTTAGTGGACATTGTTTTAGCGTACGGAGAAGCAGGGCAAAATTCGCGAGCGGCTTCTCGTTGTACGCATACCGATTGTATTACTTTATTATCTGGATTTCAGTAGGACTTTTATTACATTTTTTTTTTGAGAAATCAACTTTTTTCGTAACAGTGCTTATGTGGTTAAAATTTGTCGGATAAGTTGTGAAACACCCTGTATAAATAGTGTGTGTCTAGGTATTTTGGAGTAACATCAAGAGTGGCATAGGATTGATAGTATTTAAGGCCCGTATCGTCAGTCGTCCCTACAATTGTAGGGCGCGTTTATGGCCTCCTTGATTGTCATACTTCTTTCTCTCCTTCAAAAATGTCTAGATTACACTTGTCCCGTATCAGCGTCAGAGCTCTCCTATTGTAAAGATATGTTTTCTTTATATATATATATGTAGGAAATTTCAGGCTGATAAAACATGATATAACTCAAAAGCAAGCACAATTTGATGCAAATAGATGTTTGTGACATAACCTCAAAATAGAGCGCTGACACGGAGAGGTAGAAAACTATGACAATCAAGGAGGCCATAAAGGCGCCCTACAATTGTAGGGACGACTGACGATACGGGCCTAAATTACAGTAAAATACAATGCATAATAATAAAAATAGTTCATTGAACAAAAAACTTAGCTTTTTGAAGATGAATATGGTAAAACAACTAAAAAAAATATACTTTTGTACAAATTTATTATAGATACCTACAAACATACAGTTTTGAGTTTTATTGTTATTACAATGTGATACTATACTTATTAGAAACATTAGCAAGTCGATATGCATAGACATTATCTAAGATTCAGTCCCACAAAATTTTATAATTAAACTAGGTAGCACCTAACATATATACATATATATATATATATATATATATATATATATATATAGTCATATAAAATCATAACAGTGTGAGTTTCATTAGAATATGATATTACAATATAGTATCTCCTACTAACAAGTTGATATACATATATTAAGTCGAAACTTTCTTTTGAGCTGTTTCAAGCACGCATAACATTTATATTTCAGGTCACGATATTTTTGTCTTATTTAACATGACACAATTAAGACTGGTGGTGTTTTTGTCTTCAGCAAATTTACATTTTGATAAATTTTCATCACTTATATCAATTATATCTCATGTTTATAATATTTATTGGAATCGACTTAACCATTTTGCAAACATTCGTTCGTGACCCACAACATATTAATGTCAAGCGATCAGCTGTTATTTACATTTTGCGTCGCCTGGCGTCTATGCGTCGAAACTTTTATAAATGCCCAGTTTTGTACGATAAAATACTTTTTGAATACGGGACGGGACTTCTACCAACAATTTCGAAAAAAACAATGTTTTATTATATAAACATATTTATTAACTATTTGATGTAAAATTACATGATCATTAATAGGATAACTATGATTTTCATTTTCTCTACCATTTATTAGGGGAATATGGTTTTTTGGTGACTGCATTCGCACTTGGGCGAGGGAAACCCCTAGAAAACCTCAACCGTCACTGCTCAGATTAATTGTATCAGGGGAATAAAGATCAAGTCGTTCCACAATTCTGGGTTCATTTGTGCAATCGAAAATCGCCAGCCTACCTTAGTTATCAACCTAAAAAAAAAGTAGCGTTGAAGTAAGGTTTATAGGAGGGTCATTTTTCAAGTAAGTACTGTTCTGTAATCCAGTCAGAGAAATTTTATTTATGAATGTAAATTGTATCGCACACTAAAATATGAAAACTTTTTCATTTTTCAACATAGCTAAAATAAACATTCAAACTCAAGTCAAGTCGTGGCACCAGTTTTTCTTTTAATGTAGCATCTGAAACTTATCCTGTGGTTTTCATGACGACTATTTCGCTCGTCTTAATTTCTACCAATGGCAAAGTCGCAATTTTGAATTACAACTGGTTGCTAGGTGGGGAAATTATATGACAGTACCTGTCAGCAATTTTTTTCCAGTTTACCCGCAAATCTTGACAGCTGTTGTCACCAAAAATCATAATACATTTGATAACAAGTAATCATTGTCTCCTAGGACACGAAAAAACGACGCCTAGGAATTTTTTTTTGATTTTATTATCAATAAATGTAATATTGGTTTTTAACAGTGCTAGTCAGATTATGTAGTGAAAATGAGTCGCTTTGGAAGTGGTTCTTTGACTAATATTGATCTGGCGATTGAGAAAAGTGTACCGTACAGTACCGTTAAAACCCATACGTCAATATGGAAACAGTTTACGGAATTCAGCAAGGCAAAGAAATACGAGCTTTTGGAAACTACAAGTTTAGAGCAACTAAACCTAATCCTGAAAGATTGAGCGTGGAATAAGAAAGAAAACGGTGACAATTACAAAGAACTAGTTGTGAAGACACTGTAGAATACCATTGCAAAAAAATACAAGAGATGTGTTTTATTAATTGGAAAAACTTGTTTGATCCATTTAAAGATATTATCTTTAAATCTAGTAGGGAAGCTCGTAATGCAACGTAGGAATTTGCAGGTACTTCAAAAAAAATAATTCATTAGGTAGTAGGTTTTGTAAGTTATGTGTATGCAGAATAATCTGTTATTCATGAAATAGTCTTGTCAAATACCATTCGGGAAACTAATTTTTTCTTATGAAAAAAATCGAAAAAACAATGCAAAGTAATATTTTCTTAACAAAAAACATTCGTGCAAGAGCAAAAATCCTCATCTTCGACTCGAATTGTTGTTGCCGCAAGCACTCACGCTTCTTGTTGAAATATTACTTAGCAACGTTTTTGACATCTTTCTAATGTTCTTAGAAAAATAAACGTTGGTGAAAGCTTCTATGGCGCCGCTGCTTTTTGCAATAGATTTCGGAAGTTACATTTTCTGATAAGCTTGACTTATCGAGTAAGACGTTAGTGAAACGTGAAGATAAATAAGTTCAAGATTATGTAAAAAATACCTTTTCTTTGATTCATTTATCAATTCAATTGATGTTCATTCTGGATGTAGTAGCCTGTAATCATCTTCAGGAGCATGGAGAAGTATAACTTTTGGCCTCAGAATATTAGTTTCCCAAATATGTCCCTGAATTTCTCAAAAAGTTGTATGAAACTCGTGAACATCTTTAAAAGCTTTTGTTTGGAACTTGGCTGTAAATCTTTCGTAAGACATCATCGATATATTGACAGTAGACCATTCTACTATCATCCACGGATTTATCTGCAAAGAGAGTTCACATAAGTACTCCAATTTAAATAATACCTTTGCTTATTTCGAAACGTCAAAAAGATCGACTCTGAATTTCATGCATAAATAAATTATTAGTATAGTTTGTGTGGAAAGTTTTTGTTCTTCTTAGGTCAAGTTTTGAAGATATGTATATCTCCAAGACCCTCAACAGTTCTACCTGTACTTCAGTGGTTGGTGAAGTTCAAAACCCACCTTCTTTATGTCATACTCGCCAATGCTTACCCTGTAAAAATTTTGATGACTGACTGCTGTTTTCATGTAATGCAGAATACTATAAATCAGGGCTTTAATCATTCATAACATGTATCTATTGTTCATATTCAACTTCTCTCTTTACTCAAGTCATCTATGCCCAATGAAACATTCATCCGGCTATCCAGACAGAACATCTTTTGAGCTGACAATACAAATCTTCACTCTCAATATTCGGTCGGGAGTTCCATTCCTGAAATTGGGAGTATCTTCTCTCCAAAGCTTGATCAAAATATTTGGGTTATGATTTTGAAAGAAAACCTGGAAACTTTCAGATAGCAGTTCTGTAAAGTACGTGAAAATAAGAAATGTGCAATCTATCTTAGCTAAAAAGATGTGTGTATGTGCCTATAGAAATGTTAAATACCAAATGTAATCATTATCATAAATATTTATCACAGTTCATGACCATTCCGAAAAAACGGAATGTCTTCACTCTCACCTAAAAGCTGAAACAAACTAAGAAAGACACTTGCGCTACGATTTTAAAGCATGAATAATCATAGACAACAGACAAAAAATACGTAAAAATAAGAATTGTGGTAACCTATTTTGCTTGTAAATATATTTTCTTAATAAATAAAGGTGTCTTATCCAACTGTCGATAGCAAAATAGAAATAGTCAATGCCAAATATATTTAAAAAAACATAATCATGAATACAGTTTTGGAGACCATGGCGGGGCCATAGCCTGGACCGAGTACCTAAGTTTTACAAGTCAGCAAAATGCCTCAGCATGCCAGGTATGAGTACCTCTAATGATCTACTACTAGCCCTACCATCACTAAGAATTACCAGAACTACTACTACTAATACCACCACCACTACCTCCTTATCAGGTTACTTTGCATCTATGGACACACTTATGAAACCTGAACTTTTCACATATCTCATCGCTCGGAAACACTGAACGATTTTACGTCAGCCACGTGTTTTGAAAGACATCTCTTCGAAAATCATCAACCAAATGTCTCGCGGAACATTTCCTCACACATTGCTTATAAAAAGTAATCATCGTGTTTAATACAGTAGTTGGAGAGAATCATATCATTATGCTTCTGTGTACTTACATCAACACCATATTAATACCTAGCAGTGTTCTTTTAAATTCTGGATCCCTGTTTAACAGCTCGGCCATCATGGATACATGGGAATTCCTTTGTTCTCTTTCCCCTCTTGTTGACGAACGTTTGCACAGTGGATCGTTGAACGTTATCACAGTTTTGCTAGCTGAATACAATAACCATTTCCAATAATACTGCAGAAAAAGTTTTGAGAAAAACTATTACACAGAAGTCCTATATAAAATATAAAAACACATCTATCTCTGATGTACCTTCCCAAGGGTAAGATGAGCCGACTGCACCCCTCGATGTGCCACGCATGATCTGTGTCCCTCCATGCTGTGAGCAAGGGCATGATGGTCGTCCACATTCCTCGATGAAGAGTCGTCCACCATATCCGCCAACCATGTAGTAAAAACATAATAATCTGCCAAACAGTGTAAAGAAATTATGTAAAATCACTCCAAAGTAACTCGAATTGTTGAATGTATTGCAGTTAAAATACGCATTTCTAATATTGCTGTTTTCGAAGTTAGTGTTCTAAACACAGATTAGAGAACTTTGTTGACTATAAAATTTGTAAAAATTGACTACTGACTGAATATTTGTTTCAAAAAATGTATTCAAAATATAGGAAAAAAAGTATGTCGATAAATTACTAAAATATATTACATAGTGTAGAGAAAGTAAATTTATTCAGAAATTATGTAAAAACACCCAAAAGTCACTTGAATTTATTGTAGTTAAAATTCGTACTTTAAATATTGTTGTTTTCGAGGCCAGTGTACTAAACACAGATTAGAGAACTTTGATGACTTTAAAATTCGCAAAAATTTATCAATGAATAAAGAAAAAAGGTATTCAAAATATACGAAAAAAATATGTCGATAAATTATCAAAATAAATAGAAGCCACATTCATAAAAATACATCTACCTCCACGTCCATATCCCTCGATGTGCCCTTGCATGTGCCCCTGTATGCCCAAGAGCATGATAAGTGTGCTCCCGCATGCAGGACATGATGAAGAGTTGTCCCTCGATGGGCCCCCACATTGCAGGGCACCCAAAAAAAAATTCCTAACATTTCCCTAGCTACTTTCAGAGTTTGCAACCGTTTTGTTATTTTTGCGAACTTTTTCACTGAATCGACGCTTTTTCCTAGTAATCCCCAACTATATAAATGGGGCACCCTGTCTCGGCGAGGGCAGTTTCAAGAGTCTCGCTCCTCTTCTACTGTCAACCCTACACCAATAAGGAAACCCTAAATGCACTTACATTTCAGCAAACTGCCCCAGTCCCTGGAACAAGAAGAAACAGCATGAGTATACAGGTATAGTAGACAACAACGATATTGTATTGGTTTACATTTTTTCTGCTTCCTTGTTTCACCGACCCCCGATATAGTACGGTCATTTTATGATGCGATATAAATAATAATTATTATATCCATTATAATGGAATCTGGTTCATATGTATAAATTATACTTTTGAGCAATATGCAATAACCTAAAACGCTCTAATAGTTCGGTACAACTGGTTTGAATGTAGCGAATCTAAAAAATTGCACTGTTCCGATACACATAATGAAGACCCAGCGCAATGCAACAGAGTGGTACTCACTGTCGTGTCCACGTTAAACCTGCAATAACCCCTAAATACGTGGTTTATTGAATGTACCATCACCCTTCCCATTTATTCATAAAAATGTATTTTGAAATTGTCCATATGTACAAACTAAAATGTCTCAGCCCATGCTTTTAATTATCGATATATAGTAATTATGGATTAACTAGGTATTTGAAATAAGTGCTAACAAAGTGTTTGAACTGCATGTGAGATACACAGTCGACCTACTTGACGCCGTTTTTTAGAAAGTTCAGCAACCTAGCCCCAATTTGGTTGCGTAATTATAAAAATATATGAACTAAAATATTTACTTTATTTTTAATTGACCAATAAATCTGCAAAATATTCTGATATTGAACATGATGAAAAGCACAGAGTCAACATACTTGACGCCATTTTTGTTTGTCACATTACAAACTGTGAGTTAGTTTGCCCATGAATCTCACTTGCAATTGACAAAGTTTGTTATCCATGTGATAGTAGATTAGAAAATAACGCATCGCATCATCACAATATTCAAATGAAAAATTAACTGATAATTTTTGCATGGGAAAAGTACATTGGCAATCTACTTGGTACCGCCTTTTTCAAGTTCAGCTCGTTTTATTTCCCTTTTGTGCCTATTGGCGGCGAAGCATTGTAATCGCGGAAGATTTCTTAAAGGATGTTATATCACATCCCGAAAAGCCATGTCGATCTGTCCGCAATGTTACTACAATGCTAGGGACGCAAAAGCTTTGTATGTACGGAAAGAATGTCTATTTTTTCATTTTCATTTTTTCAAGTGAATTTCAAATCAATTTTCTCGAACCTGATACTTTTATTGAATTCAAAATTTAACATATACAGGGTGTTTCAGTTTATTGTTGCATAACTTCAAGATTCGATAGAACTTTTAAAATTAATGCATAGTCTATATAAACATGGGTCGAAAAATGCGTGGCTTCCGAAATAGTTTTTTTTAAATATTTCGAACAATATTTGATGCATAACAGTGAAAATTGGTATACAAGGGTTTTTTGGTACGAAAAAACGAACCATGGGCATAGTTTTACTGTAGCCGCTAGAGGGCGCTCTCTACTGTACCTGTAGTGTATTAAAATGACCGAAAAATTTTTCTTTTTTTTACTTTTTGAATAAAAAAACTGATTCTACGCACTTTTCAACATAAAAAAGCTCTCTTGTGAGTTTTCGTTATAGTTAGCCGTTTTTGAGATATTTCGATTTTCAAGGTTCGATGCATTTTTAATTATTTATGGGAAAATAATATTTTTTTTACATTTTCGATTTGGGCATTACAAGTAATTAAGATGATCGTTTAGATTGTGTTTTTAAACACAGCAATAATTCCTAACTCCAAATAAACACAAAAAAACTGAATATTAATTTGTTTAATTTTCCAATATTATTTTTAACAAATTAAATTAATTATTTACAACTAGAATGCTATTGGATAGTTAGGACAAACATACAAAATCTAAAGTAGTTGCTCGAAATGTAAACCCAATTGTTCAATACACAATTCACATCTACGAATGATCAAACGAGGTATAGCATTATTCAAATAAGGCCTTATTTCGTCACATGCATTCCTGATTCTGTCTATTAGCATATCTTTTGTGGTTACTGGAGTCTGGTACACTTTTTCTTTTAGAAATCTCCACACAAAGAATTCTAATGAATTTAGTTCAAGCGATCGTGGAGGCCAGGCGACTGGTCCTCCACGGCCGATCCATCTTTCTGGATAATTTTCGTCCAGCCAATTTCTAACGATTCTCGAATAATGAGCTGGACAACCATCAAGCTGGAACCAGGCCAATCGTCTTAAATCTAACATAACCTCATCCCACATATTTGCATGTTCAGCCTTTAAAAATTCCAAGAAGGTCGCAGCATTTAACCTTGCAGGCAAAAGGTAGGGTCCAAATAGTCAATTACGGTAAATACTAATCCACACGTTCACACTAAATTCATGCTGAAAATTTCTTTCCCGAACTGCATGCGGATTTTCATTGGACCAAATATGTTGATTATGAAAATTTACCACTCCACGTCTAGTGAAGCATGACTCATCGGTCCATAAAACGTTACTTAAAAACTCCCTATTATTATCAGTTCTATCAAGAATCCACTGACAAAATGTCATTCTTCGTTCTCCGTCCCCTGGCTGTAGTCCTTGCACAGGTTGCAAATGGTAAGGACGTCTATGGTCATTTCTAAGAACACGGTGAACATGGCTTGAAATTCCCAATGCACCAGAAACTCTCCTAACACTTGTGGTCGGATCTCTATCAAACTCACGCAGAATCATATGGGTAAATCTGCGCTGACGAACATTTATGTTTTGATCCCTTTGGAGATTTCCAAAACCATTTTCAATTATTTGGCGATGCACTCTTACAAATACTGAGCGAGTTGGATGTCGTCTGTTTGGAAATCTTCGTGCGTATTCGCTAGCTGCTTCTGCTGCGTTTCCATTTACAAAGCCATACACAAAATGAATATCCGCTAACTCTTGATTGGAGAATAAAAATGGCATTTTTATAAAATTTACAAAAAAAAAACAGGTAAAAGAAACTAAATTTCGTGCATTCACAATTGCAAAAAAACGTTTCGGGTTTCAACAGACAACAAAACTAACTGTCAACTAATTGACGTTTAACCTTATTCTGCTTTCAATTTCAAAAATATTTGCAGATACTGACTTTTTAACGTTATTTTATCATTAATAATTAAAAATGAATCGAACCTTAAAAATCGAAATATCTCAAAAACGGCTAACTATAACGAAAATTCACAAGAGAGCTTTTTTATGTTGAAAAGTACGAAGAATCAGCTTTTTTATTCAAAACGTAAAAAATTGCACTAAGAAAAATTTTTCGGTCATTTTAATATACTACAGGTACAATAGAGAGCGCCCTCTAGCGGCTACAGTAAAACTGCGCCCATGATACGTTTTTTGGTACCAAAAAACCCTTGTATACCAATTTTCACTGTTATACATCAAATATTGTTCGAAATATTTAAAAAAAACTATTTTCGAAAGTAAATTTAAACACCCTGTATTTCGGAAGCCACGCATTTTTCGACACATATTTATATAGACTTTATGCATTAATTTTAAAAGTTCTATCGAATCTTGAAGTTATGCAACAATAAACTGAAACACCCTGTATATCTAATTCAATATAGATCTACGACGTCTATTAAATACCCGATCACTCGGTGAACTTGACAATCACACATTTTTTAGAAATTTACGCATGGGTAATACCGAGACAATCTACTTGATGCAATTTTGCAATGTTTTAGTTGCTGACAGATTTTCCGTATACTGCACCAATGGACAAAATAGTAAAATTATTGGTAGAACAAGATGTACCTGTCATCATGAACACGATTATAGATTCATGAAATTTGGAAGAATGGAGGAAAGTCCCCCGCAATATAGTGGAGCGCCATTTTAAGATGTTGAAATGCTACCTTCAAGAGAACGATTCAAGAGGAACCAATGGACTAGAAATGATAGAAATATGAGCTATTTCTCCATGAAAGTCTATTCTGATTTTGCAAGAGATAAGGCATTGTAGTTTCCTAAACACGGGGCTGAGATTCAAGGTTTGAAAACGCCAAAGAATCAACGCTTGATTTTATGCACCATAAGTAAACATAGTGCCAAGGGCTTTTAGTGTCAAAGCACGATGTGAAATACTATCACATGTAAGTACATAAGAATACTTACAAGAACGTTAAATTAGTGCACATTTCTGTAAATTTCTTTATAACGATTTACAGGGTGGCCAAGATAAGCATTAGACTAGGTTAAATTCAGTAATCACATAATCTTACACCAAGCCATTTGTTTGCAACTATTTTATAAATAAAATGAAGGCATGGAAAAAACACAGTTGTCTATAACTAAAAAAAGAACAAATTTAACGTGATACACCGTTGAAGTCGTGGAAAAAGATTCTATGAGATACAGTTTAGTACTTTTTTGGATCATATAAAAAAGTTGATGATGGTTTCTCAAAAACGAAACGTCGGACACAAAATTTAATGCATTGTGCGCAATTTATTTAAAAAAATATAGGATGTCAACCCTAACACACAAATAAATGAGAATAATACAAGGCTCACCAAGTTTGCTGCTCAAGTATCCTGTTTCTCTCAGAAGAGTTGCAAGTAATCCTAATTTCCACTTTGGATACACTTAACAGCCACTTCACAACACTAATATACCAAAGCACCACTGAGAGACACTCGAGAACCCTATAGTGAATACCACTACTGAAAAAAAGTAGCTAAACCGAATACAGTCCTGCACGGAACTGTGAACGCGTGGACACCCCGCTTCGCCGACAGTTGCCAAGAAACTGAAGCGTGTGCTGTTACTGCTGTACCTCGCTGCGCCGATACGGTACGGCCGGGGGTAGTAAAGCAACGCCCGTTTCCAGTTCCCACTCCGCGCGTCTGCTCCCGGTTAACGTAAACATCGAGTCGCTTCGTGATATTATCAGATAAGAAAAATGAAAAAAAAAACAAAACAACTTTCTTACTACTATCTTGGTAGTTAAGCCCGGTCTAGACGTAACATTTTACCTTCTTCTTTTTTTTGAAATAATTTATTTAAACACAATAATACAAAATGGATAACCAGTTTTAACAATAATTCTCCAATCAGTGCTTGCAAACACTGGCCCCGAGAATAACAAAACCATAATCAATATCTATGAACTACAGGTACACTGCAATGTTGCTCATAATTTCAACAAATAAGTTCATTAACATTTTTAAAATCTTTCAATTCTCTAACAAAACTTCTATACTTATTTGAATCTTTTATACAATGAGGTAAATTATTAAATTTTTTAATGACTGTTCAGTTAGCACACTTCAAGTAACACATTGTGTGCAGACTGAAGAACTGTTTTAAGACGGAAGACCGTCCGTTTTGAACTGTTGACTTAGCTCATTTTGTGTTGGCAAATGTAGCCGGTCCCTACGTATTTAAAAACATGTCGGACTAACGACAATGGTCATTCATTTTTCACTGAATTCATTGAACTGTATCGAAATTTTCCATGTCAATGGAAAGTAAAAACAAGCGATTATAGTGACAGAGAGAAGAAAAATCAAGCATATGCTGTTTTGGTTAAGAAATGCCAGGAGGTGGATCGTGCTGCGGCTAAGGATACTGTAACTAACAAAATTTATTCTTTTCGATCGGTTTATCGGAAGGAGTTACAAAAAGTAAAAACAATCAGAACGATATGGTACGGGTACGGATGACATTTATAAGCCATCACTTTGGTATTTTGACCTGCTTTCATTTCTAAATAATCAACAAACTCCAAAGACAACGACCAGCAACACAGAGGATAACAATTTACAACAGCAAGAGGTAAGCTTAAGTTCATTTTATTTCTATGCTAGTTCATGTATAAATTATAGGCCCAAGTTTCGTTTAGCGGAAATCACTTACAAACAAAATTAGTTTACACAATGATTATAACACTAGTTACACAAATTATTCTTATTCTGAAGCTCTTGGCCAGTTAATTACTAGTTTTAACGGAAAATCATCTTAATTTAGATATATTTATTGAAAGTACATCGGTATTAATAACTTAAGTTTTTCACTTAGTACTTGTTTTGATATTATGGTGCTGAATTCAAGATCTTTGTAACTTCTTCCTGTTGCCAAGAACCGTAATGTAGCTGTTAATCTTTAACTTGGGGCGAAATTGCCTTTTTCATGTGAGTTTTTTGTTCCTGTATGTGTGGAGTCACGCAGTAGATACATATATGTTTCCATATCCATTCTTAAGTAATTACGTAAATCTTCAGGTTCGTCACGTAATTATCACAGTAAATTTACGTGGGAGAACCTTCCTCTTATCAGCAACCACGCTCTTGACAAGCGTGAACGTCTAGAAGTCTTTCTTTTCAATTTCAATAAACACAGCGCTATTATTGACAAAAGCAGTGCTTCCTCCATGGTCTACCAAAACTGATCTAAAAACGTACCTTAAAACTTTCAAGTTTCTAATCTTTCAGCTATCATACTTGACCCCTTTGTATGACGTGAGGTCAAATGTTATGTGTACACCGGGCTTAACTCATTGAAAATTATTCTAATCATATTAGCAAATTTCCCCGAAATAATTGTAAAGTCGGGTTTTAGTGATGCAAGTTGTTCAAGGGTGTATTTAAAACATGGACGCATAAAATGGGTACACCAATTTTTGTGGGAAAACCTTTTTTATTCGACAACAAAGAATGAGAAAACGTATTTTTTTTTATTCAATTGAAAGTGTTGGCGGGAACAAAAAAACTCTTCAAATAAGATTTTTAGGTACTTATGAGACCTACAAAATGAGACCCCACGTAAAAAGATCCGACTAATGGTAAACAAGTTATGACCTAAAACCGAGGCAAAATGCACGTTTTGGCACTTGTTAATGCGACGATAATTTCACGCAGCTACTTGAAATTCTTCAAATCCATACGCCTCATACTTCTTAATAACCACAACAAAACTGGAGTCGATTGGTCAAGTCGTTTTTGAGAATTTCTAATTGTTTACCCATAACTTTCCGAAAGATAAAATTGTTATTTTTATGCGAAAAACGGAGGGTTACGTTGTTCTCTTTAAAACAAATTCAAACATTTCGTATACGTGAGTAACTGAAAAGAATCGCTACGAACTTTATAAACAGTTAGCGCATTTCAGTATGGCAATATTTTTTTCATAAACTTTAAGGCCCATCTGTGACCGTGTAAAAATACCAACTCTAAATATGCATACACAAGAACATGAAAAAATCTTGAAAAAAAATTTTGTTCATAAAAAAAAGTGATACACATCCGCTTTGTTTTGAAATGTCTGTTCAGTTATTCACGTATACGAAATGTTTGAATTTGTTTAGAAAGGTAAATTCGTGCATTTTGCTATAAAATGCCCTTTGAACGAACCCTGTATATTGCTCAGTAAACTAGTGGTGATGGCCGTTTCGGGATAAACAATTAGAAATTTTCAAAAACTACTTGACCAATAGACTCCAATTTTGTTGTGGTTATTTATAGGAATTAAGTTTACGGATTTGGAAAATTTCAAATAGCTGCGTGAAATTATAGTAGCATTAGCAACAAGTGCCAAAACCTGCATTTTGCCTCGATTTTTGGCCATAACTTTTTTATTATTATGGTGGTATATTTTCACGTGTAGTCTCATTCTGTAGGTATCAGAAATCCCTAAAAATCTCATTTGAAGAGTTGTTCCGTTCCTGTCAACACTTTCAACTGAATCCAAAAAAAACAAAACGGTTTTTTTCATTCTTTGTTATCGAATAAAAAGTTGTGTTACATAAATTGGTGTACCCATTTAATGCGTCCATGTTCTGAATACCCCCTTGAACAGCTTGCATCAATAAAACCAGACTTTACAATTATTTCGCGAACCAGGGGTATTTTTGTCTAATATGATTAGACTAAATGCGCGTATAGCTTTTTAAACTGAAATATATTTAGAGCTTTAAATAGAAGAGACGTACGTACTTTGGTTTCAAAAAATACATTCATGCATCAGCGACATAGATTAATTTGAAAGGGCATATCTCATTTACCCGATAACAATACTTCCTCACCAGAGACGTAGGGAGTAAAAGTGCTGAAAACTTCCATTTCTTGAGCAATATTTAAGCTGATATAAAAAAAATTATTTGGCATTAGGTAACTCCAAATACCCTTAGATGGGGATATTAGAGAAGAAATAATACTACAAAAAATATATTTCCAATAATAAACAATACAAAGCAAGTGAAACCTATGACGCTGCTACTTTCAGCATTTCTGCCAGATCTGTGATTTTTTCCCTAGGTTTTCCCAGCTTAGCTCCCTCTTCCTGTTCTACTTTATCTATTTTCAACCAGTCTTTCCATTCTACTACCTGATTATTCAAGCCTTTCTTGACCTCTTCAAATCCTGGAAAATTATAAAGGAAAAGAGTCTGTAGTTAAAAAATGTTTATGTTCTGAATGCATAGTTGTTCCTTAATGACTCTTCAATGTGATAATCACAGCTTATTAATACACTCCCAGCTACGCCACCACGAGCGATAATTTATTTACAGGAAACCACAACATGTCACTACATGCACGCCCTCTATTATCAGCATGATGTATTTTATGGTTTTTTTTCACGAACATCTATCACGTTTTTACGTTTTCTGAGGTGAACAACTGATCAGCAACTGATATCTTGGTATTAAAGCCTGTAGTGTAATAAACCGGGTTAATTTTTTTTATAGGAAAGTTTTGGTAATACCGGTAATTCTCTAGTTTAGCTACACCAGCTTTTTTGTTTCTCCATCCGAATAGACACTAGGTTTGGGTTGTAAATTACGACATTAAAAATGTCTGCAGATGGGTTAGTTGCAAAATATTGTTGGAATTATCTGGGTATTAAACGGTATAAACAAACAATAAATACCGCGACGTTGCCATATTGAAGAAATACAAGAGAATTAACGAAAATGCGCATTTCCACGCGTAACAGCTCTCCTTTTACTCCAAAATGTCTGCCCCTTTGTGTCGGGCTAGTGCATTTGACGTTATCTGGGGCTGTAAAGTTCGACGTCATACATACAAATTTTTTTATATGTATTTTATATTTGCGCCCATTTTCTGTTTCATTTCTTTCATCTACACCCAAAAACTAGGATCTAATATCATTTGACCCCGTTTAGTTAGAGAATATCTTGTATCTACAATTTCGTGTCCAGCCCGTTCACATGACTTATACCCACTCGATTTTTTTATTGGGGAGCGGTAAAAGAAAAAGTTTACTCAACGCCAATCAAAAAGTTAGCCGAGCTACTGGACAGAATAACGAAAGCAGCTGAATTAATAACGGAAGATTCACCCGTCTGATAACCCGATCATTTTTAAGATACTAAGCTTGCATTGCTTCACGAATTAGTAAAAGTGGCGCTACTATCTGTCTTGCTGTCACTACGTAGAATGACAACGTATATTCTTATAAAGCAAATAACTTCTTAAAAACCTCTTAAGCTTAACTGTCTTACTAGCAATGATATTAAGGCAAAAATGCATTCTAAGAGCAGTAACAAAGCAATAATTATTATAAAATAAAATAGCACTGTCACTCGAAAATTATGAAATAGTTTAGCTAGTAAGTTTTTCACTAACCTCCTTTCGGTTCGTTAGTCAGATGTCCTTCGCTAATGTCCTTCAATATAACCTCCGCCGCTTCAAATGCCCCATTCATAGTGTTCAGAATGACTCCCCTAGGACCTGTACCCAACCATCCACATACATACAATCCTTTCTTCACTTTGTAATGCTGGTTCATAACTATACCCTTGTTATGATCAAATGGAATATCAGTATCTGCAGGTACAGCCTTGTACCCGATGCTTGGAATGACTAGACTGCAATCAATGCTTTCCTCATCTTCAGTACTGATTGCCCTCATTTTGTGAATGTGGTCAGTGTCACCTTCGAGTATTGTCTTGCACAGAACAATAGCTTTCATCTAGGAAAAAAGTTTAAAGAGCTGTTCTTACTTAATAAGCCAGCAAAAAGCGTCGTTTATTACCAGACTCCGCTTGACCGAATGGCCACTGCGAGAGGAACGGCAGCTATCGGTTGGAACTGTAAAGATCTCAGTTTGCGTCTGATCGTCCGGTAACAACTGTGACCACTAGAGGCCGACGATCCTGGTAGTATAGTAGATGTGGTCACTCGTCATTTAATCGTCAGCTACAGTGATGATAGGGCTATCAACCGCGAACCGCGACCTTTACCGTTCCAACCTATCCAGTTTCCGAATTTGTCTATGGAGTTGCGTAAAGGATTCATGTTCAGTAAGATTTCCGTCGCGGACGGGTAATATTTTATTTTTTTAAATGCAATTCAATAGTTTTGTCGTTCAACTCCCCCTCGTTCGCGGTTTTCTTTAAAAATATTGCAGTTTCATTATTATACATGGCGACATTGTTATAAAAAACAGATGTTTGGAATAAAAATAATACACATTTGCGAAAATTATTGCATACATCTTAAATCTAATCCATCTTAAGCAGGAAAAATGCTACCTCTTTAGGAGATAACTAAATTCATTCTTCGACCTTTATAGCCTTTGTCGTTATCGCCATCTGTGAGAGAGTAGCAGAACGTAAACATGAATTTATAAATCTACTTTTAGAGTTAATCGGGCGTCTTCAGACAGTGATAAGCGTAGACCACCTGAAGATACTAAATGGAAATATGCATTAGGGATTTTTTCTTTTTAACATAAATACCCATAAATAAACCATCCGTTAAAATTAGTATTCTTACTTAGTTAAATATATACCTTGTTCTTATTATATCCCTCTATCCTAGATGGCGCCCTATAAAATACAGGCCTAAATTCCTTTTGCCCTTCAACTACTTTATTTTCGTTGACAGATTGCAACATAAGTTCTGTAATTCTTTTTCTTGGTCGTTTTAGTTTCGGAATATGTTTTTCCACATCAGTAAAGTCTTCTTTTCTCCATATTGTGCTACAACTGGGAAGCTTTAGTACTTCTCTCAATTCTTTGATTGTGAATGCTGCTTGTAGCGGGCCGCGTCTACCTACGAGGTAGACTCGCTTCACTTTAGATTTTTGCAGAGCTTCCAGTGCGTAGCTGGTGATGTCTGTTTTCTGGAAAAAGAACGTATAATGCGCATTGGGTCCTGAAAATTGCATTCCACTAATGTATAGGCTATACCTACCCATCTAAATATTTCGAAAACTACACATCCTAGAAACAAAAGTTGAAAGGTTTTGATATAGCAACATGGCAATTGAAATTGACCTTGACCCAGACCTTCAAGGTAATCAAAAGGTCAAGCGTGAAATGGTACTCTCGCTTTTTTACTCCGAAATTGGAAAGAGACTAGAATTTTTCGAGCGATTGTGACATTATTGTCTATGACCATAAGTAGACATTCAAAGGCAGAACACACTAAAAACAATTTGCTCTGGCAAGAAAGTTGTGAGTTTTGTGAGGTCTTTACCATGACCATGACCATCATCTCCAAGGTCATGAGCTATATACAAATATGCGGCCGATTAATGTCGAGAAGCTATTCAAACAAATCATTCGATTGAAGAAAATAAAATTTTTATAAAAAATCAAGCTGGATTTAGAAAAAAATATTCTGTAGAAACGGCAATCCAAATGGTGGTGGAAAACTGGAGAAGACGTATAGATGATAATGCTTATCATTTTTAGTCTTCAAAAGGGCATTTGAGACTATAAATAGGGAACAATTGTTAATGAAATTACATCCCTATAGTCTTAAAGGATCAATATTAAAAATTTTACAAAATTATTTAGTGACTAGAAGACAAAAAACTAAAATAAAAAATAAATATTATGTCAAGAGTTCAAAATATATCAGTAGTGGTGCCACAGGGGAGTTAGGGCCTTTACTATTTATACCCGTCTAAGCCTGCTTGTAACGTTTACATCTAGTTTTAACCACTAAGGATTGGCCTGACCCTGGTGTAGCCGGGATCAAGTTTGTTGGACCTAGTTTTGACCGAATGCAAATGGATAATAGTAGGTTTGGCCATGAATGTATAGGTCATACCTAAAGTCATGTACATATATGTAACAACACCGCGAACCAAACTAGGCGACGAACCGCGCCGCGCTAGTGTAGACGGTGAAAAGAACCCCGTCGCGAACCTGATTAGCGTTACAGCTCGCCGTTCGGCCCGATCCAGGCTCTGTCAGTTCTTCAGCGCAACATCAAAGGGATGGCTCGCGAAGATGTTTGGACAGGCATACCAATGTGTTATTTTGTAATGTACGGTTGCTTAGAAGTAAAATAATTATTTTTCTTACTTGTATATTTTCCTTTAAAACTTCGATCAATGCCTCACAAACTTCTGGAATGATGTAGCTGATCGTTTGCTTTGAAATTCGAAACATGTATTGCAAACTACTATCTGAATCACCAGTCGCTAAAAATCGCACCGTGACTGCAAGTCTTACTTGCACTGTGATGGCAGCTCTCCATTTTGTATCTTGTTTTCGTATTTTTGAACCAATCAACGTGAGAAGATATTCAAAATCCGTCGGAGACAGCCTCGTAAAATTGTTGTACTGTCTACTTACTAGTTGAAATTTCAATTGTTGCAACCGTGTGCTAATCTATTGGTATATAACTGCGTTTGTTACCATCATGTCGGACGTCGTCGTCGCTTGTTTTTGGATAATTAGTAGTGAAGGCTGCTACTGCTATATCCATTCCCCGCTAGTATTTGTCTTTCACTGAAGGACAAACAACAAAATTGGATCGTCATCTTGTTGCGGGATGTGGTTGCACGCCTTCGTTCGGTTGGTGCTGATGTTCGTTGCAATGTTGTTCGTCAAAATGCGCGCGCCGCGGTTCGTCGCGTGGTTCGGTTCACGGTGTTGTTACATATCTGTACATGGCTTAAGACAAACCAACTGCCAGTGGCTACACCTAGTTCTAACCGGCTAAACCTAGTTGTCACCGCATTTCGGGTTTTAGCCGTAACATATACAAAATTGGCTACATCGAACCGTAAAACAAATATATCCGTAAACGCCCATCACTGCGAGTTATGCCCAACAAGTTCTTGTTTCCAAAACATAAAAAGAATGGCATAGACGACATTTATTTCCAACAGGGCAATGCAATTTGCCACAGAGCTAATGGAGCAATCGACAACTGTACGACTGGTTGCTGAGATCCGCACGGGATTCCAGCAACACAGCAGCCAAATACTGACGCATTTTTATAACTTTGGATGATAAGAAGTCATGTGAAACTTACTCTTAATTCATCAACTGATTTCAAGAGTATTCTTGCTACATCTATTGCTACATTTCCCTGTCCTAAAATAACCACGTTTTCTCCACTCAGATCCATTTCCAGGTTTCGGTCCTTGGGTATACCATTGTACCAACCAACAACTCTTTTAGCGTTGATACAATTTTTAAATTCTTCTCCTGGTATTTCTAGTTGATTGCACTCTTCTGACCCATAAGACTAAACAAAGAACAGGAATAAATATTGTTTTTTTCTTTCGCACTTATTGAGGCTAGATGCGAGCACAGCATAGCAACAGTCAGCAAAATGTCTCCTGTTGGCGGGAACCATCTGCACATGTGGCCGCGCATGCTGCCATCTTGGATTACAACCCAAAAGCGTCTTGTTTCTAATTCAAAAACCATAGTAGTAGATAATTTTGTGAACGTTTGGTTTAATAATAATTACACTACATTCTATTCACGTTATGTGAACTTTCCTAGCTTTTATCAAATTATGCGGATATACAGGTTGTCCCATGTAGAACTGAAGCAATCAAATACCCAAAAAGTTGACGTTAAATAATTATGAAACTCTGAGATTATGATATCACCCATGTGAGGAATAAGGCTAAAATATTTTCAAAATAGTGGAACTTACTCTTATACCGGAAGTGAATACCAACTTGCTTATTTTGGAAGGAACATCCTGTGTATTATTCAATTTTTGAAATCCTCGCAAATTTTGTGTAAGAAATCACAAACGCATAAAGGTCTATGAATTTTTTATGTTTTTGTATTTGTCAAACGATCTAAGATCAGATAAAAATTAAATTGTAAAAAATGGAAAAGGTCAATTTTTCTCATCATCATGAACATTAAAAATAATGATAGTTTTGCAAAGGTTGCAATACTCGTTTTCTATCCCTCCATCGCCTTTTTTATGGTCAGTTCAGCATGGTTGGCTATGGCGCGAAGAATTATTAGAAATCAGTAGAAATCTTTATTAACGTAACTTATTTTTTTTTTTCATTTGCATCCAGAAACTAAATTAGCAGCCATGATCATATAATGCACCAATGAAAAAATAAGCATTTGCACCATACTTGAACAATGGACACATACTGATAGTCTGATACAATATCTAGATTGATATGACAGCAGTTAGGTTTGCATTTTATTGAAAATAACAGAGTCTCACTGTTGCTGTACAAAATTCTACTTGTTAAATTCTTTGACAAGAAGATTACAGAATGCTTATTCATTAACAGACATTGCGTAAATATTCATTTTACCTATCTGTTGGAAAAAAGGAACATGCGGCGTCAAGACCTGATTGCAGTGAGTTCTCGCGCCCTCTACTGGGCAGTAGGCAACTACATCTAGCCTTGCCACCATTACCACAGCTTAGCATGTTCATTTATATGTCCTACCATTCAGTAGAGTGTGCAACGTCTTCCTGTTAAGAGTAAGTAAGTAAATTGATTATTCACCGAATAAGCATTCTGTAATTTTATTTATGTCTACAAAGAATTTATTAAGCGTAATTTTGTACAGCAACAGTAAATCTCTCACATTTTCAATAAAATGACCAGTGATGGCATCATGTAAATCTATTGTACCAGGTTTGATCCATGTTTGAGTAGGCCACAAATGTCTTTTGAATGATGAAATTTTGCGTCAACTTTTCTATCTGAACACAAATTAAAGACAGATTTTTGTAGCAACCAAATTCAATTAGATCCATTATTCCAAAGATGCCTTCTTATTGGTCCAATTTATGCTAAAGGCACAAATTTTGAATCCTGCCAGTTAATCATAGAATCAGTTTTTACTAACATTTCAATGCTATAAAAGTGCAGAGAGCAGGAAGAATTTTGTTGTTATCTGCTGTTAGGACTGTTGCTATGGATATGATAACAAATGCAATGATGCCACGCCTCAAGATCATAGCCACATTAATTTGAAGCATCCATAGCTATCATTGAGAACAACCAATCTGACTGGAGATTCAATCAGTCCAATACCACTAATGCTGCTCCATGTGAAGCCAGTATAGGTGATTCTATAGAGCATAGAGCAGCTCAAAAATGTCAGCCTTCACGGCAACACTCAAAGTGGACATTTACTTGATTTTCATTGAATGTAGGGATGCAATGTCATATATATATATATATATATATATATATATATATGTGTAATGAAGTTTCGAATACTCACCAACAACACTATATGATACGCCTTCTTCAACACCTCCAGACTAACATCTGCTCCTAGTGTCATGTTTCCTAAAAACCTAAGTTTTGGATTCTCTGCAGTCTTTGTGAATGTATTGATGACATTTTTGACTTCTGGATGATCCGGAGCCACCCCAAATCTAGGACAACAATCAAAACAATACTTCGTTTTATTGTTAAAAATACTTCGTTTGTACCTTACCAGACCAAAAGGCACAGGTAGCCTCTCGTACATGTCAACCTGAACATCTTGGATTTTCTTCAACAGGTGTTGGGCTGCGTAAAATCCGGCAGGCCCCGCACCGACAATGCAGATTTTTGGAGACGGGGGCAATTGTTGACTGTATAATCTTTTAAATAACCATAATTTTGATTTCATTTTATAACAGAAAATATAGGTTATGTTTATTTTAGGAACGGAGACGATCGATGACGTTTTCATAAGCTTGTTAAGTAGATGTAGTACATAAGGTAGGCGCGGTTTGATTCTGCCTTTGACCACGCCCTTGTTCCTACTGTGAGAATGTGAAATGCGTCATACGTCTGTGTCTAAGCTCCATCAGTGGCGTCTTGAACGTAGGAGCTTGTGAGCGTTAGGCTAGGTGCTACTAAAAGAAAATATGGATTGATTAACAAAAAGAAAATGCACAACACCACCGACAAACCAGAGCCACAGTAATCTTTCGAAGCAAATGCTTATCGCGTTATTGCAACATACGTCTTTCCATGACGTCGGCGAAAACCTCCGCTTTTCACTCGGTCCCAAAAACTATGCTCTGCAGTAGCTAGTAGTTGTTCTCGCTTAACGTTTCTAAGCAATTTCACCAGTTTCCAGAGAGGGATACTTCAGTGAAGTATTCTCACCAGAAAGTCGTTCGATTGCTCATTGCGGAATTCATATGAAAGCCATTTATTATCGTTAGACAAGATTTGTTGAACTGCGAATGTAATCAGGAGACTTTTTCGCTCTTGCAGTCCTCTGACGAATGTCATGTTAAAATAGTTCTCACCTTGTTTGCTTTATTGATGGGCATTTCAGAGTTATATGCCTACTCGGTACGGCAAGAGTATTATGTAAAAAAACATAAAAAACGTAAAAAACCGACGAAATGTCATCTTGCACACTTAGTAGTTTTTAGTGCGCAAATAGTACATTCCACGTTCGCTATTATCGCTGACTTTTACGCAACAAGTACACCGTACAGCTGCAAAACGAGTTATTCACAACATGCTTGTGCTATGTTAACGTCTTATAGAAAAACCTAGGTGAAGGTGAAAAACCCTACGAATGTAAAAAAAAACGACAAAATGTCATTTTTCAAGATACGTAATACACGCGCGGGTATATCGATCATATTAATATTTAACAAAATGGACAAAGATGAAGAAGACTTTTAGGGTATCACACCACAATGACTAAAATATTCACCGACACTATAAGAACATCCTTCCAATAAAAATTGTTTCCGTCTATTCCGAAATCGGAACATGTGCAACACTTTATACTGTCTGGTCTGGCAACGAAACATAGATCATGATTCCCATTCATTTTGACAGTTCAAAGACAAATTCAAATGGAGATTGTCACCTGAAAGGTGTCACTATCCAATTTAAAATAAGGTCAACGTAGCAAAAGAAGTTGGAATGACCAAGACAGATATCCACCTGTCTGACGGTACAACTCCTGCACATTTTGTTTTGGTATACAAGAAGAGTCTTTTAACAGTTGGGAGACAGGAGAAATTAGAATATTATATATGGAGCCTAACGAAAAAGGGTGTTATTGTTGAGGCAGATAAGTTTTCGGTAAGTAGTGGTAGTAGTCTCTTAGATCGAAAAATACGTATCATCTTCAAGCCAACAACCCAACATTTAACTAGAAAATTCATCAAAAAGAAATGACATAACTTCTAATTTTTTTAATTTCAATCGTGAATTCTATAAGATCTACACTGAAATCCAAATGCCAATGACGTCGTAATGTGTACCAAAGAGAAGCCAGAGAAGCAAGCAATAGGTGTGTTAGAGGGATAGCAGCAGCTCCTCGTTGACTAGCAACCCGAGTGACGAGGCCACGGACGTCATTGGCGCTCTCTTTCTAACATACAGATTGAACGCTTCTCGCGCTTCTCTCTCGTACACATTACGATGTCAGCCAAATTTGAACCTCACCGTATGCCAATTCGCATAGTTTAAGAGGATAGAATACTCCAATGAAACGAATATACGCTAGATGTCAGAACAGGTTCAAAATCGTAATAAAAGCAAGTTCAACGTGCCGTGTTCAGACGAGCCGTTGCATGTTTTCAGTGTTACTTAACCCATTTGGCGTCGCAGGCAGAGCTTGTTTATGCTTGCTAACAGAGCTTTTTTAGTATTTTGCTTCAGCCCGTGTATTTACGCTTTTTTATAACGGAATACGTCATTCAGGCATTTTTTATTTACTAACAACATCCGTATAACAAACGACTTAACAACATTAACAAACGTATATCAAATGTATTAACAACAACAACAATTGACAAATCAAATAGAGAACCCAGAAATATTGGAGATAAATCGTACACAACCGAAGAGCTGAATCACTTCCAACCACAAAACATATACACGGAATTTCAACTGTATCGAACTGAATGAATAGGCTAAGGCTGAAACGTGTGTCATGCAGCACTACATGGCCACAGGCGACGGTGGTTAGATGTCGCCTTGAAAATTCGAGGTATTCTGGTCATTATGACCACAATGTGTAGGTTGACGCTTGTTGGTGACTTCGTGTGTCGTTTTGTTCACTCTCCATCATAGTTTCCTCAGGTTACACCCGTATCCGGATGTATCGACATACGTATCTACTTTTGTACTTGCATATGTGCATTCAGTTCTGGCATGATAAAGCCGAAAAGCAGAAATACGTATCGCTCGGGTTACCTATCCTAGTTTCTGCTCGAATCCACGTTCCTTTTTTTGCGGATTGTGCCCATTATTTTTCTATTTGTTATATACCTTTTTCCGAATGATCCTTTTCTCTTTGTAGATACTTTGGGCTTGAAGTACCACAACAAGTGGCTATAACCGGCCGCGTGGTTGTGGTTAGATGTCGCCTTGAAAATTCGAGGTCTTCTATCCATTTTATACTACAATGTGTAGGTTGGCTCTTGTTGAGGACCGCGTGTGTCATTTTTTCTCTCTACATCTTCGTTTCCTCAGGTTACGCCCGTATCCGGATGTATGTGCATGTGTATCTACTTTTGTGGTTGCACATGTGCATTCATTTCGAGCCTGATGAAGAAAACAAGCAGAAATATGTATCGCTCGGGTTACCTATCCTTTTTTCTACTTGAATCCATTTTCCTTCTTTTTGCGGATTTTGCCCATTATTTTTCTTTTTATGAATTTTTGATTAATGCGAGTTAAAATTTATCTTTATGTTATAGGCAAACAAAAATGTCGTGTTTGTTAAGCTACACGCGCCAAGTAAGATCGTTGCTCGATATGCTGATGCTTTCGATTTTGATCTCGTATGTAGAAATGCTGAAACGAAGCGGAAATACCAAGACTGTTGTAGAATCTTTACAACACCGCTTACAAGGCCTAATCCCCTAGATGAAGTCTACAGGAGAGCATCGTAAGAAATGTGTCATAATTGAATTGGTCATTCCAAAACCTCATAAGTAATCACAATAAAAACTGTATAATTGTGAAAGTGTACTTGTCAGCAAAACCTTTCTAATAGCAGAACTGTATCTAAGTAAACCTGTAACAATTCTCAAAGTTGCACACAAAATCATGCTAAATATGCAAATTTTAAGGTCCAACTGAAATTCTCAGGGGGGCCACGGCCCCTCTGGCACCTGTATGCGACCGCCCATGGTGTTGTTGACAAATAAACATTTTTTGAGCTTAATATAGTAGTTGAATTTTGAAAGATTCTATAAAACTTAATTATATTTTTCATTGCTTAGTGTTGACTCATTAGCATGTGAAATAATAATAATTATATTATTAAGGTACATAGGAGGAACCTGGACAAAGCAAACATTGCGGGACAATTAAATTCCCGTTCTATATCTAAACCATGAACTGGCTATTGTAAAAAGGACATAGACTACGTCACTCGCTCCTACAATCATATCATCAAATTGTTCTAGCTTTTTTTTATTTATATCGTTTGTTTAATCAACTTGAAATTTCCCACAACTCAAAAAAACATAACTTCACAATAGGAGAGCGGTGACGCTAACACGGAACAGGTGAAATCTAGATATACCGCAGCCTTTCTGAAGAAGAGAAAAGATTTTGACAATCAAGGAGGCCATTAATACATAGTCACAGTAATTATTGTAGGGGTCTTGCACTGACCGATTCAAACAACGAACTCGAATAGACTAGAAAAAGCCAAGCCTATATGTGCACATTGCATTGTGTGTCGACAAAATGCGTAGTTTTAGTGCACTTGTCTAACAATGCCTACACAAGTGACGGAGTTGTATCAACATAGTGATAATACCCGTGGAAACATCTGCCTTCATTAGGCTTATGCTGCTCTTTACAAAATATGTAAGAAGTAGTACATCTTAAAATCGTCTAAGACCAGAATTACCTGCAAGCACTCAATGGCCCTAATACCACAGAAATTTGAACAAGTACGATGGATCACATCTATCATCCTGAAAGTTTTCAATACAATACTGTTACGTAAAGAAATCGAAGTATTGGACTCATACAGTGGTCGAACACCGTTATTTTCATTCGAAATTCTGGCAGGTTCGATAATCTACTTAAGTTGTTATTTTAATGTAACTCTTGAAACGTATCCCGTAGTTTTCATGTTCATAGGACTCTATTATCTGACCGAATCAAAACCGCACATACTCGTACAAGGTGTCCCAACGAAAATGGAATGTAGTTTTATGAGCAAACTGAAAAGGATATCAAAATCTGTTTTCATGATAACCTTGATATGTTATTAGCGCATCTTTTTAATTTGTTTTATTATCTACAGGGTGCTCCATAACATCGTTCTATCGCAAACATGTATTTTTTTAAATAGAATGCCCTATATTTTATTGCATATTGGGATAGAGCTTTAAAAAAATAAGTGATTTAGATATTTATGACTGGAAAAATGCCTAAATTTGACGGCTCGCAGCTCCGCCATTTTTGAAGATATTTAGATAAATTTTAGTTCACAAAATTGTTCAACTTCAAGCTGATCGGAAAAAATGCTAAAATGTCTTTCTATTTATACAGGGTATCTCAAAACGAATAATGTACATTTTTGATATATTTCAAATGGAACACCCTGTATATTTCTACATCATTAAATAGCTTTCCTTGGTAACTTTTTTCGATATGCCTTACACCACCTTTGTCGAGCAGTTTTCGGGTTCTTGATATTCCAAGAAACAAAATACTTATATTTCACATTTTGACTTAAAATCAGATCTCAAGTCTAGTATTTTTTTCACAATCGCGTTATTTCAGCAACTTGGGAAACTCGATATCCGGTTGTGTTTAACTGGAAGGACCAAATGTTTAATAAAACCTAGCGGATCTAAGGAATGTGTTCGAATAATTTATTAACGATTGATTGCCTTAGGCTGAGATTATTTTTGTCGTGCTAATAAAAGTTATTGTTCTGATAGAAGATTTCACGTTTAAATACAGGATTCTAGTTTTTCTTGAAATCAATAGCAGTAATTCAAAAACGTTTGGAAAAAACCTGAGTAAACCTTATATTAACAAAAAGTTCACAACAAAACTATTGTAACAATATAGAAATGTATTATTTAAAATTTCTGAGTAAAGCGACATTTTGCGTTTATAAATGCGTATATAAATAGAAAGGAATGTCAGCACCCTTTGGTGCGAAGTTATGGACCACCCTCTATACAGGGTGACTTTGAAGTTGAGTCATTAATTTTCAGATAATGATTGTAGAAGGAAGATAAACCAAAATATGTGTGTAAAAATAAAAAAAAAATAAAAAAAATTTTACCTTGTTTTATAAAGTATCCTCCCGACAAGTATTTCAGTGCGGACCTGTATTTGATCGTGAGGTCCCCTGTGAGGTCTTAAGTCACCTGATTCACGAGCCCGTTGTACTACATTAACAAAGGCACGAGGGGTTGGTTGCACTCGATTGGGAAACCGATCCCCATAAACATGTGCCATTTTTTATTTCGTTTGAGCCACGCAACAGACACTATTCACACGCGACTGAAACTGACTGTATGTATAACTGAACTGAATTGTAATCGTAAAAACATCGTTCCAAATTCTTTCGCTTTTTTGTTTCCGATGCGATGAACCGTTGTTGCCAAACACGAACACATGATATTATTGAGACAGGGCGGTACTCAAACTTCCAAAGGGCTATAACTTTGTTACTTTAATTTTACCAGAAAAATGGTAAAGGAAAAAAACATTTATTTTGATCAGATCTACACACTGTTAAAATAAATGACTCAACTTCGAAGTCACCCTGTATATGTATTAGAATAATTTTAAAATATGCACTAGTGACATACCAAGGTTGCCACAAAGATATGATATCCTTTCCAGTTTGCTCTTAAACCTACTTTCCATTTTGGTTGAAACACCCTGTATATGGTTAGATTCCAGTTATTTGTACGACATTTCGACCACCACTGCGGTATTTTTCAAGGACAATTGACATCTGTGATAATATATTTTGTTTTCTGTCATCCAGGTGATATTTTGTATTCTTTTCACATTCCTATAGAGAGTGTGTCATTACAATAGTAACCCAGAACTATTGTCGTAATACACCGGCTAATTGTTATGCAATATCCGACTAAATGTGTATTTTTTATGGACCTGGAATGCGGAAAACAGTATTTCGACATCTAAAGTCAGTCTAGTTGCCAGGCTTCTCTTATACCACTAAGTTGATAATTAACTTTTCTTTTTTAGAGTGACAGTATCAGGGGGCGTTCCAGAGACTGCCACAAGAGCTGAGTCAATATGGGTGCTCGTAGAGATTATGAATAAAACTAGGTTCGGACAAAGACCCAGCGAGTATGGTATCTATAAATTGCTTAAAGAAAAAGTATTCATCGACTCGTATCCTCTGCACGATGGGCCATACGAATGGACTGACAATGGACATTTGAATGACAGACAGGTGATTTCTCTGTAAGGGCGGTTATCCCTCAGGGTTCAGTTCTTACATAAAGAAAGAAATTAGCTATATCGAATAAATCATCGGTAGATGACATAATATGTCATCATATCACATCATATTATGATGTCAAAATAGAAACTATAATACATAAAAAATGATTTCAATAATATATCTTACGGGTACTGTCATTTTGAGGTCAGAATGTTGCCAGGAAAATCTTTCACTAGATTCAGAACGCAAACATATAAAATAGAGTATATGGATAGACAAATGAATATGCTTCATTGTAAGAAGAATAATATTATTATTATTGTCCGAGCTAACATAAAATCAAAACAACCAAAATTTTATATATGCATCGTAAGATGACGCTTAGAAAATTTCTAAAATCGGAGACCGACGGATATAATATAAACGTATTTTCCAAAAATCGTTTTAATTCTTTCCTGACGGTATTTATAGTGTTTCCTGACATTATTTGTAGTGGGATTAGAGAAGAAATAGCACATTAACGTTGCCATTTTTTCTCCTCTACAAGATGGCATAATCAGAATTTCAATATGACGTATCACCTATTCCAGCATGGACGCCATATTGGATTTTTGTAAAGGTGAACGGAGTGGGTAACTCTGATTCCAAAATGTATGATGTATCATACATTGCCATTGCCAAACCTTGGTTACTTAAAAAAAAAACAGAATTTCGTAGCTAGGACTTCAAAATATCGGATAGTAATTTGTTTTGTATACCAGATTTATTCCAATACAGTCATTTTTATTTTTCCCTGACTCAATTTGAGATGCAATTCCGAAATAAATTACATGTTGCCATTGCCACTTTCTCTGCTCTACAAGATGGGGTGTTCAAATTTTTAATTCGAGATTCCTTCTTTCGATTTCCATCATAAACCTTGCTTTATCATATGGCCGCTATAGTGGAATTTAGTACATTTAAATACTGCTCAGAATATATTAGTTTATTTATATATAACTAAATAGATATAGTTTATAGTCACGTGAATAAATGTGTTATATTCGTAACTAAATGCAGAATCAAACATTATGTTCGATTGCGCAAAATTTGAATACGGAGTCCATACGAAAAAAACAACAAAGTTGAGGATGAGGATCGAAAGCAGAAACGTCTAATTAGGAATTTGACTACGTCCTCTTATAGAGGAGAAAGTGGCAATGCTAATGTACAATTTATTTTAAAATCACATTTCAAATACCTAAGTCAGGAAATAAACAACGATTTTTGAATAAATCCGGTATACCAAACAAATGACTGTCTGATAAGTTCAAGGCCTAGGAAATTATATTTTATTAAATGACCAAGGTTTGGCAATGTCCATGTGTGATATTATATATTCTTGGAATCAGAATTAAAAACTCTGTTCACCTATGCAAAAATGCATGCATCCTGAAATTCTAATTATATGTTACTGTGCAATTTACTTTGAAATCCACTACAAATAAAGTAAAGAAACAATTAAAAAGATTTTGGGAGAATTTGTCTCTGAAAGTACTTTGGATTTCAAAACTTTCTAAGCGGTATCTTGTTAATTACCTAAATACTCAACTTTGCTCCCATTTGAGCCACTTCGTATCTCTTACCGTTGCCGAGTTCCCAGTGCGGAGGGTCAAATTTGAAACAACCCGTATATAACCTTTTTTTTCATGCTTCAACGTACTGAATATGCCTTACAAATTTCCTGCCAGCGTTCTATGACATTAAGTCGATTTGTGATTGGAATGACAAGCTACTTTTTTGATAATCATGTTTCAGTTTATTTTTGATCTAATGAAATATAATGTCGTTACTTGAATCATAACAAATTGAATATATAATTATTCAATACATGTTTAGCTACTTGCACGGTATTGGGGTTCCTTCAAATGTCTATATAAAATCCAACCGATCCACCAAATAGAACGTTATTATGGTCCAGAATACGCATTCTACTTCGCTTGTTATGGATTCTACGTTAAGATGCTAATCCCTGCAGCTGTCATAAGTGTATTATGTGTCACTTTTGGTCTTGTGACACTTAAGATGCAAAGGATCAATACACCAAGGTAAGTTGTTCACCTGAAATTGACATTTCAGACGTTCAACCTAAGTTTTGTGTAGGCTTATTGTGTTGTTATTGTGGATGTACTTTCTACACTAGAAATATTGCTACATATTTCTGGAACACCCTGAATATTTTTTAGTGAGGAAATATGCTACAGCAAGATGATTATTTGTCCTACATGCCATTTTCACACCTGCAAATTTGAGCGACTCAGCGCTTCATGTTTCTTTTCGTATCTGACGTACTTGTTCAACAATCCAGCAACTGTGGCGATGTCTTGTATGATTTCCTTTTGGTGTAAGTTAGATGTAGCTTCCTCATGGTCGAAGGCATACTTCTCCCTTAAGACCGCCTTAATTGCCTCATAAATCTGATGCCTCCTTATAACTCCTCGTTTCAAAAACCTCATCAATCACACAATTTTAATTTCTAGGAATCAATAAAACCTAAGTCATCCACAAATAAGTAAACATTTTTACGTGCGACTAATGTTTTCGAAATCGTGAATGGTTAACATAGCGTAAAAACTATTTAAGCCTTAAACAGGGAATGTACATATGATTCAAATAGCGCTTAATTATTATCATATACAGTGTATATTGCCACAGAATAACGAAATAACTTTAATAATAATTGATATTTTATGCTTGAGCACTATATTAATAATAATTGATATTTTATGCTTGAGCACTATAAATTTACTAGTGATACTTAATGAAAAATGGAAAACACGCGGTAAATTTGAAATGTCGGAACGCATTTACGTGACGTCACCATTTGCGACTTGTGTCACCAATCCTTTGTTGAGTGGTCAGTCCAACTTAAAATGGTAGAATGACAGCTGATTATCTAGTAATATCTCAAAATTCCCCATGTCGTCACAGGAAACATAATTCTGACGGATCCGTCAACGTCAGGTAGTCAGAGCCGTATTTTGTTTTGATTTTTTGTACGCTACAGATACATTTTGTACTTGCTAACAGCTCTTTTATTTAGAAAAGTTCATTTGCATACAAAAAACAAAACGATACAAACAAGTTATACTAGATTTACACCCGATGCATTGTTGCCAACGTCGCAGACTAAAACAAAAATGTCACTTTCTGATCAGCTGTTCACCTCAGTAGACGTCAAAGCGTGCTGGATACTCGTGAAATAGGGTATAAATCATCACGTTATGACGTCTACTGAGGTAAACAGCTGATCAACAAGTGACATCTTTGTATTAGTCTGTAACCGTTGGCAATAATGTATAGGGTGAATAACTAGTAAAATTTGCTTGTAGTGTCTTTTTTTGTTTGCAAATGACATTTCTAAATATCAGTACAAAATGCATCTGTAACGTACGAAAAGCCAATATGTTTTTATTTGACGATATGGGGAATTTTGGAATACCTCTAAATAATCAGCTGTCATTCTATCGTAATGGATACTCGTGAAAAAGACAATAAGCTGATGGTATGACAAAAAACTTGATGATAACTAAACCCAAAATACAATCAAATAACAAATTGTGACTTATGACGTCACTGCGAAGCGCTCCAAAGATGCGGCGTTTGAATCAGCGCCACTGGGCATTGCAGTTTTAAATATTTAATTGAAAATTAAAATTAATCCCCCTCCTCTGTCTGCCTCTAAAGGTAAAATGATGAATCCTTCCAGTATGAAAAATACAAAACTTCGTAAGATTTGAAATGCGAAATGCTTTCGTGGCCATCATCCAATGTTATTTGGTCGGTTTTTGCGCAGTTAGGCCGTCGTGAAATATTTTTATCTGACGTTTCGCTAACGCGAGTGCCAACCACTCAGTACGTCAGTTTTGTCCGACATAATGAGTCTATCACGGCTGCACAGCGTGAGTTTCGTCGCCACTTAAATATCCATCGGCATCGAGCTGTTCCTTCTTGAAACACCATCCACCGTTGGGTTCAATCACTTCGCACACGTGGTGTACTGATCAACAAAAGACCACCAGGAGCTCCACGAACGGTTCGAAACCCTAAAAAAGTGGAACGCGTTCGACAAGCACTCCTTCGCAGTCCGGCTCGATCTGGTCTGCAACATGCTGCTAAACTTCGCCTCAGTGATCGTTCGATAAGGAATATTTTGCATCTGGAACTCCACTTTCACCCCTACAAATTGACCATTGTTCAACAGGTACAGCCTGGAGGTTATGGGCAACGAATGAACTTCGCACGTGAGATGGAAGCACTTATCGAGTAAAATGAGAACCTCATTTTGTTCATGAGTGATGAAGCTCACTTTCATCTTAGTGGCATGGTTAACCAGCAGAATTGCCGTTATTGGGCTAATGAAAATCCGCGACAGTTACATGCACACCCCAAAAGTGACGGTTTGGTGCGCTGTATCGCAAACTTGCATCATTGGCCCCTAGTTCTTCGAAGACGGTAATGGCGATGCTGTTACCGTGAACTCGGAGCGCTATGTCGAAATAATCATCCACTTTTTTTCACCTATATTACGACGACGACGTGTTCCATTCCGACTTGTGAGGTTCCAACATGATGAGGTGACCTCCCACACAGCCAGAGCAGCAGAGGTCGCCTTATTACCAGGTTTGGTGATTTTCATTGGACCCCTCGGTCCCCAGATTTATCCATCTGTCATTTTCTCCTATGGAGACACCTCAAGGGTCTTGTATACGAGCAGTCTGGATAAGGTGAAGGAGGCAATTCGCGTGGAAGTCGTCCAAGTTGAGAGAACGGTGTTCGACAGAGTCTACGCGAACTTTCAAGAATGCCTCCAGCAATGCATCATCAAAAACGGTCACCACATGTCTGATGTGATTTTCGACAGTTAATTGTGACAAATGCTGTTTCATTGTGAGCCCGAATCCGTCAATAAATTTGTTTTTGAGAAAAATTACCGATTTTGTGTTTTTTTAAGAACCGCCCGACCTTCGTGCTGGACCCTGTTCACTAGGTACAATATACTTGTACTCAGTATGCTGATTTGCTGTCTTTAGGTTTTCGTTTTTTGAAGAGGTAAACAATTATTTTTGTTAATGAAAAATACATATCCGTGCTTGACATCTATGAAAAACTGATTATCATCAAGTCAACATAATTTGATAGTACCGTTGAGTTGCTAAATTCAAAAATCCGTGAATAATGATTGACTATAAATTGTCTAATTTTTTCTAGAGAATATGATATTTTCTTTAAAATAAACTTTGATCGAATCCTCATAGTTGAATTCGCTTCCAGGAATGCAACGTCTTGGCGTCTCCACCCCGACTATTTGGAGTTTCTTGATATTACTTTGTAACCTACTAACCAAAAAATCTTCAGACAGTTCACTTGTCCAACTCCACTTTGCGTGATCACTGTTGTTTTTCAAAACAAAACAAAAACAGATACAGAGCATCACCAACACCTTATAACGCTAAAAAACAAGTGAACTATAAGTTAAATGCAACCTACCACAACATTGCCAAGTTTGTGTACTTCGAGACTTGTTAATTGTAGATGGCTATGGTATAGTCAAAAGAGATTCTACTCTTTATAGCGGTTCTCTAGATACCATCTCGATGGACCAAATTAAATGTATGATGGGGGCTATAGGAGCCAATAAGGAAGCCTCAGATAGAACTATCTCGTCACTTCCACGTGTCAAAGATATGCATTCGGTCCCCTAATCGATAATTCTTTATGATAAAATTCAGATATCCGTTTCAGCCACAGCTTTCATGGAATTCTGGCAAAGGAACCAGGCAAGTCTAATGTTACGGTGGAATCTAATGTCTATAGAAGTTGATACAACTGCCAGGTAAATAATCCGCTTTTTCTGGAAAATGTTCATTAACCGTGATGTACCTTTTGACTGATTTAAGTAACTAATTCTTCAATTTAATTAAAATAAATTTCCTAGATCTAAGCTCTTTGACTATTGAACTAATTTGCTTGCAAACCGTATACTTGTTCTAGTGAACTATTCAATTAATTTAGGTAATTTAATGTAGAAAGGGTACATTTAAGGCAATTAAACATTTTAATAAAACCGGTTAAACTATTTACTTTAAACTAATACCCGGAGTCGGCTCTCATTCCTGAATAGTTTGGAGCATGCAAAAAGTACAGTGCCGGCATCACACTTTGTAATTATCATATCCAACGGTGATTTTCGTGGCGAGCTTGGTATGGAAGTTTGTCGTTGTTGGTTTAGTGGCTGTGAAGTGGATCAATGATGGAATTATAAGACTTGAGCATAAGGCGGATGAAAATTGTTCAAGTATGCAAATTACTTAGCTTAATATGCACCACAACCTTTCCAAGTAGCTTCATTTCGTTTTATTTACTTCAAATGCAGAACAAGCCGGAAATTGTTAGCAATACACCTAATTTCCAAGAATAGATAGGTCCCGAGTAGCGAATAATTATGGTCATTAGGCGGCACTGTCACCCAACTAGCTAAGTGGTACTAAAAGTTTTTGGTAAAAGAAATGTCAAGCCATAAACGATTCTTTTGTTGTTGCCTAAATAACACATTGTATGAAATGAAAATTTTTTAAAATGTTGCATAAATGTTTACACAACTATTTTATATGGCATATTAGCTTGGTAGTCTAAACATAGTGACATTTATACAAAAAAAAAACGAGATTTGTTATTTTGGTATTCAGAATTACTACTTTAGCCAACATCGGAAACATGTATACAACTGTCATTTAGTAACTCTTAACAGCTAGGTATACATCTGCAATAATGTCACAACTTTTATAGTACAAAATTAGAGATTAAACGACCTACCGGTACGGAAAATTAACTCTCAATTATACGAGATGGTCACGCCCAAAAAAAACACAAATGTTGTATCCTTCATGGTCACTTTTTTGTGCGTAATGTTAAAGAAAAATTCTGTATAGCCCCACTTGGCCACGCCACAGCTCCCAACTAACAAAGTAGTGGTATAAGCTTTTGGTAATAGAACCGTTCAGCCATAAAAGCTCTCTATTGTTGTTGCCTGAACACCAAAATGCTGGCTTAATGTTGTGTGGAATGCAAATTTGCTTTCTGCAACATATTTGCTCTAAAATGAGGTGCTTAAGATATTCTTATAGCATAGTTATCCAACACCTTATAGGACAAATTTTTATCTGTTGCATAAACGTTTATACAACTATTTTATACGGCATATTTGCACGTTAGTCAAAATGGTTGTGTTGTGGCATCCATTGTAACGTTTATAAAACAAACCCGAGCCTTGTTGTTTTGCTGTGCAATTTACAACTTTAGCCAACAAATTGCTCCCACCGGAAGCACTTATACAACTGTTGTTTACTAACTGTTAAAGGCTGTACATAGGCTAAATATGTTGGTATACAACTTCACCATAACCTAACTTTCTGCTGTCATATTTTTGTTAAAATGCCATAACCAATGTTTTAAGACAAACAACGCATGCATATTGGTTCAAAAGGTTTTATCAACTGTTCAAACAGAAGATATAGATCTGGTACAAACTCTGGGTAAATCATTCGACTCTGTCGGTATTTCATTTCAGACATTTGTCAAATTGTTGTATAACACCTTCAGGCAACACCAAAATATTCTAATAAACTAAAGACAACATGGACAATGCCACGATTATACACAACCACCCGCCATATTTGACAAACATTTATTCCTCTATTTAATATTAAATAATTATGTTTCAGTTCGAAAGTACAGATATTAAGTGATAAACATTAGTGTAATTGTGTCTAAACGTAGGATTTGTGGAAGATTTAACGCAGATAAGTTCAGTTTTCCATCTTAAAAATCTAGACATACTTTTTATCATTATCAAAATATGAATCAAATACGAAGTCCGTAGAAATTGCGTAACTACTTTGCACGATAATCACAATAAAATTTGCTGCGCAAGTAATTCAATAGCCCTACATCACAGTGTAGAAGTTTATCATATACCTGTGTATGAAATTCACAATCGCCGATATGTAAGTAAACAAGATGACTGTAATGTATTAGTTATATATATTCTTCACTTTGTCTATACAATACATAAGAAATAGTTTGGTTGCAATGAAGTAGAATCACGTAACAGTTTAGTTGTATAGTTGACAGAAACTGAATCTTGCACTGACGCAAATGTCCTATAGCGGCTGCAAGAGGCTTACACTTTGTTGTATAACTGTTACCTGCAGCCCTTATACAACCTCGTAAATGACTGAAGTGTCCTATTAGGTGTGCCCATTCCGCTTGTATAGCTGTTCTAAGAGGGTTTTGCCAATGTTCTTACAGTATACAATGCTATTTAAGGAATACTGTATAATCATTCTTGCAACTCTAATAGGAGGAGAGAGGTGGGGAGGGTGCCGTTTGACTCGTGAGATCCTAGCATTATTTTACCAGTTGTCGTTATGGAGCCTTGGACGGTGGACCACCGCGTTTTCGCCTATGATTGTTTCGTCCGAAATAATGAGTCAGTCATCGTCGTACAGCGTGAGTTTCGTCGCCACTTCAACATTCATCGGAATAGAGCTGTTCCCTCTCGAAACACCATCCTTCGTTGGGTTGAATCACTTCGCAGCCATGGTGAACTGATCCACAGAAGACCAAGAGGAGCGCCGCGAACAGTTCGAACTCCTGAAAATGTTGAACGCGTCTTTCTTCGCAGTCCGACTCGATCTGCCCGGAAACATGCTGCTGCACTTCGCCTTAGTGATCGTTCGGTTAGGCGAATTTTGCATTTGGATCTCCGCTTTCATCCCTACAAATTGGCCATTATGCAACAGTTACAGCCCGGAGATTATGCACAACGAATGAACTTCGCAGATGGAAGCACTGATCGATTAAAATGAGAACCTCATTTTGTTTATGAGTGACGAAGCCCACTTTCACAAGCCACAAGCCCCGAACTCTGGACGAATTGAAGGGCGAAATTCGCGTGGAAGTCGCCCAAGTTGAGAGAGCGATGTTGGAGAGAGTCTACTCGAACTTCCAAGAACGCCTCCAGCACTGCATCAACGATTTCGGCCACCACATGCCTGATGTGATTTTCCACACTTGACTGTCTCAAATGCTATTTCCTTGTGAACCTGATTCCATCAAGAAATTTGTTTTCGAGTAAAAATTAAGTATTTTATGATTATTTTAAAACCGTCCATCCTCTCTGCCGCACCCTGTACAACCTCTTACATGACTGAAGTGTCCTATTAGGTGTGCCCATTCCGATTGTATAGCTGTTCTAAGAGGGTTTTGCCAATGTTCTTACAGTATACAATGCTGTATAAGGAATACTGTACAATCATTCTTGCAACTCTAATAGGAGTGATAATTGTTAGTTGTTCTGCGCCCACCTGATTTCGTACTGTTTTCTCAGTGCACTAGTGGTGCGTACACTGTACACTACTTGACGCTATCTCTAGGTCGATTTTATCCAAGAGATGTCAGTAGTAGAGCAGACAAGAAACCTTTTATTAAAGTTATGATGAATGCGCATACTTAAAAAAAGTCGCTCATTCACCGTATTTTTGAATATGCAATAGGATTATTGTCTGACCTACAATCGATATCCCCGTCATAGTGGCCTCCACTAATCTTAGATGGTAAAACAAATCGGTATTTAGGGTTGTAGATCGGGACAAACAGAATCAATGCTTTTTAAAATGATGGTTCATTGTTTCGCAGCTAATGTAGTTAATGTACGAGTGTTGGTCCAGAAATAGGGTTCCAAAAGAACTACAGCCACACTGAAAGCTGGGAGCCGATACCCGGCAACATCGCTGCACGCGACTGTCCCCCCACTCTCAATTTCCCCGACTGCGCTTCACTGTGTCGCTTATTCTTGGTTCAGCGGACGTCTAATATGGCGGTTTCCATTTTTGATGCCGCCAAGTGCGTTTATTACATGGTTCGCCTTTTGCACGCCCAAAGAAACCCCAGCCGTGGAAATTCGCATCATCAGTTGACAGAGGCGTATAGTGACAAATGTATGTTCGTTCAATACGTCTGAGAGAGATACAGGAAAGTTAGTGCCGGTCGGAATAAAGTCAGATGCGATTATTAAGATGGTCCAACGCGTGAACTCTCAGGAATCTGAACAACAAGTTCACTACCGGTGATCCCCCTGTTTTGAAGAACTTTGTGCTGGACCAATCCCGATCAATGCCATTGAGACTCACAGTCATCCATTCTGTTTTTATCGTGGACTTAATTCAGACAGGTACTAAACTCCCTGCACCACTTGCGGACGTGTTGAAGACTTGTAGCCAAGCAACTCTGCAGCTGACTATAAGCATCCACTGGTAGTCTCTTTGGCGCGCAAAAAGCGAGCTATGTTACAAATCCTGAACTTGATGGAATCAAAAATGGGCAGCTCCACATTGGGCGGCTGGTGAGCCCAGAATTAGTGATGCATGTTTAGTTCGCGAACAAGTTAGTTCAAATGAGCGATTCTTATGACTGAACAAAGCAAACTAATTTATCATTCCTCGAAAACGTTGCTCACGTATTCACCACGAACGACTTGTATCACAGGATTCTGATGATCCTAGTGATACAATTGTCAGTGAATGAACGAGAACGAGATATGAGACGGAACACCACCGTAGGCAACCAAGTGAACAGAAGGTTGTATAACAGGTTGCCTGGATGCGATCGTGGGAAAGGGAATCTAAGAGGATAAAATGAAGTTATTGAAAAGTATAACAACGAACGATGCTAATGGCAAAGAACTTTTATACAACATGAGGCTAATGAGAATTTAAAACATTAGAATGAAAAATCAAAATAACTAATAATTTCCTCTTTTGAACTTTATGGGCTTCTACTGTATTTCTTTTCTCTGAGAAGACATGTCCAGCCTTCGAAAAGAGCCGAGGTATGATAATTTGATGGTTTGTACCGGGTGGGCCATTAAACAGGGTTTAAGACCTATCTAAACTAACTTCATTCTATACTTTTTGTGTTTTGTAGCCTTTTTTGTTGACATCATTTTTTTGTATGTGCTTTGTTTTAAGGAGTGAGAAGGCTACAAGTTCATTTTGTAACTTCTGATTGGCACCATCGATTTTCATGGTCTTGATTTCATTTAATTTAACAGGTTCCTTTTTCGTCTGTTAGGTAGCGCTCAATGCCAAAACCGTCGTCAATCTAATTTTTTTCCGAAAACTTCAAATGCAATGGTAAAGTGCATGAAAAGTCCTACAAAATTTTGAAAACCGTATAGCGCCACAGAGTGGAGAATACAGGCTCTAGTGCAGTTGCACGCACTAAACTTTATTGACGTATTTAGGTAGATTATATACAGGCTGTCCTCAAAATAAGCAGTTTTTTAGTTACATATACACCAAAGTCGTAAGACTACCAAAATGTTAAGCTCCGCAAAATCAAACAAATCTAAACAAAGCCTAATCCGGCCCTGTATCTCTATCAGATCAAACGTGAACACGCACGACGCTACGATGTGGATCAGTACTGAATCAGTACGCTACCCGCATTTCTAAACAAAACCTTTAGGTGCACATCGGTTCTAAAAACAAACGCATAGTCTTACAGCAATATCGGAGTTGTCCATATTATTTTAATTTACGGCGACTGTCTTCGAAAGGCTACTGAAGCTTCCCTAGTCCATGCAGATCGTTTTTAACGATTCTTCGTGATATCCTTGTTTGTTTGGGGCGAAATAAGACGTTTAATAAAACTGAGGAGAGGACCGTTCATGAACTAGGCAGTCCAATCTAAAAGCCTACATCGATGCTTGGCTATATCGAGCAAATACATGCGTCTGTGAATTTGTGACAACATTGAGCAATACTTAGAAGTGACAGATCAGTACTTGAAATTTCTTTTCGATGAACGATTGAACGATGAGTACTTTTTCATTTTTTTTTACTTATATTTCTGAAAATTTGTATAAAGACCATACAAATGAATGTACAGCGCTCGAATAAAACCCAAACTCCCCTATTCAGCCCCCTAGTATAGCGTGTGTTTTTCTGTTCCAGACCACAATTTGCTGAGAAAGCATCGTATAATGTGTATTCTGAAATAACTGGAAAACTGGAACCAATGATTGCGTTGAACAAAATCATATATGCCTACGTGTTGACGACTTCCACAATGATTCTTCTGGTAATGATTTTTTATTTAATGCACACGCCTATATTGCAAATTATATTTTCCCAAATATTCATAAAATCCACTGCACAACTCGAAATCATTTTATATTGTTTTTTCAGGTTCTAGTGATGATATCAGCATTCTTTGGTGTAATGATCTACAAAGTATCAATGTCCTACCTAATTTTAGAATTCGACATTCCTGCTATAAAGGACTATAACCAGATGATAGCCTCCTTCACAGGGGCGATGATATCAGCTTGTCTTATTCAGGCACTCACAACGGTAAAGTTCAACTTTTTCAAAAGAAAACAACTCAACGACTAATCTTACGTGTATTTTACACGAACAAAATAAAAGGTCGATACATCTTTAGCTATAATACATGTTATATAACAGGCGCAATTAAATGTTATTATTGTCATATATGAGTGTGGTTCAAAATCCACAGGGGTATTACGTATCTTGGAAAGTGGCATTATATAGGTTTTTGTAACATTATGAAGGTTTTCCTACAAAATATCAATTTGGAACTAGCTGTTGTAGACTTGATGTGCACTGGTTGTGTAGCGCTGTACGTGTTGCCTAAACGTCATGACGCTTGCGCTATCATGGTTTGACTCTGATGTGACATAACATCTGCTTCAGAAATGGCATTATTGGAGGTGTAAGCTGTAAGTTGTTTGGTATAGCTAGAACGAAACGGGCGAAAGCTAAGTCGGTAAATTTTACTAACCTAAAATGACAACTTGTGAGTTTGACATGTTTATGCTTTGACCTACTGATCACTGTTTGTCAAGTTTGTGGTGAATTAAAAACTCGCGTGATGATAATACGTTTTAGCTACTCGTCGGAAACAACAACCAAGCCATCAAGCGTGATGCATTATGATTGTTCGAATGCCCTTTAGGCCCGACTTTATCAAATGGGGCATACAATTTGCGCCTAGAGCATTTTTGAAGTAATGGATCTAATGAAAATGTCGATTTCTTGTCAACCATCTCTCAAACTAGAGAACAATTACACGATTTGTATAAGATGGTCCACTAATTCTCATATTAAATCAAAAAGTGCCTCATATATCACCTGATCGACCTACAAAAACCTATTTTTACTTTCATTTGATTCCGGGCCAAACGTTGATCAAACCTGATATAATATCTAGATTGATATGACGGCAATTACTGAGCAACTTATCCAAAATAGCAGTGTCACAGTACTTACCTGAGTAGTTTGTAGATGTAAACTACTGTTCTTCGCTAGACCTTGCACACTGTCTGTGTACGGACGATATTTGTTCGTAAAATTAAAATTTGCAGTTATAATAAAGGTGTGCATGTAATGTATGGAAGTTTCTTTGTTAATATATTGTGGAACATTCATATAGGCATATGGACAAAACTTTTCATGCATCGTTTTACTAGGGTTGAATTTGCAACTAGGTCTCAAACACTTCTTTTTGGTTGGTTTAATTTTGGCCCTTGGCGCCAATTTTGTGACCGGAATCAAAAGAAAAATAGATGTCTGTAGCTAAACTGGGTGATATTTGTATTTCTTTCTTTAATATGGGTGCTATGAGTCCATTTTACAAAAATCGTCTAGTTTGTTTTTCTCTAGTTTGAGAGATATTTTGGAAGAAATCGACCATATTCATTAGATATCAACGACCCTTAGGTAGTTCAATGACGAGACTAACAAATTTTCCTTAAACTCCTCACAGCAGCCGCAGTGCTCTGGCTTTTAGGCTTCTGTGTAAAAAAAGATTCATTACTTCAAAAATGAATTCTGACTGGTTGAATGTGTGCCCTGGGCGCAAATTTTGATTCGCGCGAGTCAAAAGTAAAATCGGACCTTAGAGACTAACACCATATATAAATATTACCTTGTTTCAGGTTTTAAGAAATTAGCAATGTGGTTGACAAATATAGAATACCACAGGACTCAATCTCAATTCGATTACTCCTTCATTTACAAAAATTACGCATTATCATTTGTAAATAATTATTCTTCTGTATTTTATATAGCTTTCTTCAAGGTAAGTTTATGTTTCATTGAATTTTATTAGTAGGGTTTGTCGCGACCATGCACCCATATAAAACACTAAGTTAAATATTCGAAAACTAATTCTGGATAAAATTACCAAGATTGCGACTTTTTTAAGAACAATAAAGTTTTCAAGTAAGAATAAAAATATTGACGAACGTTTAAAATATTTCACTGAGTATGCTGGTTTCGCCCGTCTGATCAAAGACGGATATGAAATTGGCAAGTATCTGGCGGTCACAGTGATGACTGGGCTATGAAATGCGGACTGAGATTTTACAGTTCCAACCAGTTGCTACTATACGCAATTCAGATTAATACCAGTGAGAAAGTTTACATTTCAAATTTGAATTACGCGGCAACCGTATACGCGATGCAGTGGGGAGAGGTCTTGATCGACGCGTTCGGCGTGCGGGTTAAATAGTCACAGTTCACAATAGAACGTTGGACTGCAGCACAACGTGCTTTTGCTATCGAGGCTTACCTAGACTGGCGATTCATATGCAACGGCCCTTCGGAAATCTTCCACACGATACAACATTCGCCGATCAAGAGATGCCCCAAGTTATAACCTATTGAAAAAGTGGATTAAGAGGTTCCGTGACACAGGCTCTACTCTTAGCCAACCCATTCCTGGCCCCACACCCCACACCTACTGTGTCAACCGTAGAAAATGTGCATTGAGTAAGTGATTCGGTCATTGAAAATCCTAGGCGTTCTGTACGGAAGCATTCCGCTGCTTTGGGAATCCCTAGATCAACACTGCATGGCATGATGAAGAAAAAAATGGGTTTTCATCATTATAAAATCCAAACAGTCCATGCTTTAAAGGAAAATGATTACGTATTACGGAAATCTTGAACGGAACTTAGACGGTTATGTGAACAAGCAAAATTGCAGATATTCGGCACCAACGGACCCAAAAGAGAAACCTCAACAACAGCTATATAGTTCAAAGGTGACTGTTTGGTGCGCCATATCCTCTAGCTGTATTATTGGGCCGCATTTCTTTGAAGATGAAGAGGGCCATGCATTGACAGTCAATTCCGAGTGATACAAGGACATGATTGACACTTTTTCTGCTCCTATTGTAAGACCAGAACGTCCGTTCAACAGAAACACATGGTTCCAACAGAATGGGTTCACTGCCCATACTTCCAGAGAATCGATGGGAAGCTCTTTTTCCTCAAAAAGTTATATTGACGTTTGGAAACATTCACTGGCCTCCTAGGTCACCCGACCTCACGCCATGCGATTATTTTTTGTGGGGTTATCTGCAATCAAAAGTGTATTCCAATAATCCACGAACACTGGAGGAGCTTAAAAACATCACTCCGAAACTCTGCAAGAGGATGTTTCACAATTTGCGCGCGCGATTAGAAGAGTGTGTCCGAAGGGATGGCAAACATTTGGACGGAATGATATTTAGGAAATAAAACTCGTCAAATTCACGAATATGTTGATAGTAATAAATAATTTCTTTGCATTAGGTTTGTATTTTTTTCTTAAATCGAAAAGTGAACTTTCTCTCCGGACATCCTAGGTGGCGCTTTGCAGTAGCTTATTTAGATAGATCTCATACCTTAGACAGAGGATAGATGTAAGATATTTATGTTTTGAATTATTTCAATGCAAAGATTTCATAAATGCGATCAACTTGAAATTTGAGTTATTTTCAGGGCCAAAAAGCTAGCTTATGGATGCTAATTCCTTTAGATTGAGATCCCATGCCAGAGATTTCTTATTTTCTTAAATCCAAAACATGGGGAACTGAATAGCGTTTCTATGTACTTCCAACCGCCTGTTACCCACTAAGTAAAGATTAGACTAACTTTGCTTCAATTCTGATGCCTGATTTTTACATAAACTTTGTCATATATTGTTATTTAGCCCAGCCAGACACTTCTCGTCAGCCATAACTTTAAACAAGATGTTCTGTAATAATTGGCACATGTTTGTATGACGGCTTATAAAAAAGTTCCACATAAAAATAAAAGTTTCTAATACTTACGTATAAAGTTTTTAATGCTGTTTTCTTTGTCCTATCGAATAAAATTCTATATCCACTATGTATATGATGTAAATGCCTTATTTATATACCCTTGCTTATTTCGGTCGAAACAACGACTGAGCGCTTCTGCGCCAGACATCACATCAAATTCTACTAATCAGCGTTTGTGCTATTAAAGTGTGTAATCTATCTCTGTACCAAATTTCAGCCAGTTCCATTCAGCCATTTTGGCATGCCTTAGTAACAACAATCCTCACTTTCTCATTTATAGTATTACTATAGTAGGGATTATAATATTAGTGGGGATGATGAATGACTATTTGAAGGGCAAATTCTTCACACACCCTGGAGACCTGCAGCATAGGAGCTACTTTGGAGGCCTCAAATCGGACGTCTGCAGTCCCACGGGCTGCATCGCAGATCTAAGCATCAATCTCATGGTCATTTTATCAGCAAACATATTCGGCCGTATGGTTTTTACAGCTATCTTTCCATACATTTACACCAGGGTTAACGCTATGGTCAAGCGTGTCTATGATTACGATCAACTGCCCGTGAGTATATCGATCTTTAAACTATTACAGGTTCACTAACAGCCAAGCCCTCGGGTCCCATAGTCCCGACCTTACTAATCCGGGGTACAAAATTGCGCCTAGGGTATATACTCGACCAATGAGAAGCCGTTTTTAGGTAATGGATGAAATGATTATAGTCGATTTCTTGTAAAATCTCTCAAACTATAGAAACATTGCTCGATTTGTGTAAGATGGGCATATTATTTCCATGCCCGGGCACAAAGTTTGCGGCTGTGAATAAGGGTTTGCGACATACTCGAAGCATGGACCAAATCTGATACAATATCCTGATTAATATGACAGCAATTACACTGGACAACAAATTTTAGTTTTTTAATTGTATCTTGTGGGAAAAGTGCACTTCTTTGTTAATTTTGGGGCGCTGAATCCAAAAATGATAATGAAATAAAAAAATTAGTTGCGGTTTAGAAAAAAAACTTTTTTTAAGGATATATTAAAAAAAGTAACAAGATTCATATACTTATAAGAATCACTATATGCGCTGTCTTTTTGCTGTTCTTTTATGGATCGTTTCTGGAGCATCTCTACCAAGAGTCCAACAGTAGTCTGCAAGCATGGAAGGATTCCACTTTCCCTGGTACCTTTTTTCCATTGTTGAAATATCCTGATGAAAACGTTCGCCGTGTTCATCACTTACGGCTCCGCAATTGTCAGGAAAAAAGTCCAGGTGTGAGTGTAGGAAATGTATCTTAAGAGACATATTACAGCCCAGCTTTTGATACGATGACAGCATATTTTTGACAAGGGTTTTATAGTTGTCAGCTTTTCTATTTCCCAAGAAATTAGTGACCACCAGACGGAAATCATTCCAAGCAGTTTTTTCAATACCTTAAAAAGCTGACCCATCTCTATCTAATGCCTTGACAAAGTTTTTCATTAGGCCCAACTTGATATGCAGTGGTGGTAGTAAATTTTTTTTCGAATCTACTAATGGCATATGCTGTACATTTTTTTGACCTGGCTCTAGGAATTGACAAACAGGCCAGTTTTGTCTGGTGTAATGAAGTGCCTTTGCCCGACTGTCCCATTCACACAAAAACAGCAAAACTTTGTGTAGCCTAGCTGCAGCCCAAGTAAAAGTGCAACAACTTTCAAATCGCCACAAATATGCCATTGGTGCTCATCGTATTTTATGCATGTCAATAGGTACTTCATATTGTCATATGATTCTTTCATGTGAACTGCATACCCTACAGGAAGAGATGGTAAAATATTTCCAATATGCAATAATACTGCCTTTAAACTCAATGTTGAACTGTCTATAAACAATCTCCATTCTTCTGGGTTATAGTTTATATTTAAAGCCGCCAGTAAGCCGTTAATGTTACTGCAGAAAACCAAGTTAAACTCCATATTGAAAAATGGTTCTAAGTCTTTGTGGCGTTTACGAAAAACACATACCGAAACATCGTCTTCTAACAAGTTCCACTGCTGCAGTCTTGATCCAAGTAACTCTGTCTTACATTTTGGAAGTTCTAAATCTCTTACAAGATCATTTAATTCTGACTGTGTTATTTTGTGCGGTTGGTGGCATGATAAAAAAATCAGGATCTCTTGACGTTGATGGCATATCTTCTTCCTGACGAATCACTCGATCGCCATGATCTGATTCGTTTTCTGATTCGCAAGTGTAGGATTCTGGGGGTTTTGGAGTAGGATTTTCGTCACTGTGAGGCACAGGTCTCATCGCAGATGGTATGTTTGGGTAGTTAATAACCGATTTTTTTTTTCTTGGACATACCTGTGGCTTGTCCAACACAAGGTACCATGCAAAAGTAACAATCAATAATATGATTTGTAGGCTCTCTCCAAACTATTGGGACAGCAAAGCGCATAGACCGTTTTTTGCCATTTAACCAGCTCCTCAGACTTGAAGCACATGTATTACAGCAGATGTGGGGTGCCCACTGTTTGTCTTGATCACCTAGTTTACAACCGAAATAAAGCTGATATGCCTTTGTTATTAGTGGAGTAATAGACCGTCTCTGAGACGCAAAAGTCACATCACCACACACGTAACAAAACTGATCTGGATTGTTTACACACTTTCGAGACATCTTGCATGAACGCTGTCAGCCAACTGAGGAAAAAATGGCTAATATAAAACAATATAATGTACACGTATGTATAACGTAACATAATCATGCCGATTACATCATCTTTCCTTGCCGAATATAAAAATGTAGCACGTGCATTCTTGTGAAATACAGTATATTAACACTGTCACAGCAGGAACATATATAATTACCGTATCTCTAAAACTTGAACTAATATTGAAAAAATAAGTTTCATTCCGGTTTTAACACATTAAAAATAGTAATATTTTGTTGATTTTATTTAGGATATTTTTTGACTGTTGATCAGTATTATTGAGCATTTTATTGAAAATAACACTGTCACTATTTACCTGAGAGAGATAATTTTGAAAAAAGGATGTTGTTTGTAGATATAAACTACTGTTTGGCGCTGGGTCCGGGCGATAATTATTTATCTGTGACATAACCATTTGCAATTATCCTTCTTATAATACAGCTATTCAGGTAACGTTGATCCAACCCGTACGTCCTTGAGTTCATTCTGCGGGGCGGACTTTAACACCGTGAGCGACGGGTCGGGGGACGACGGGGTGGTGGTTTTTCGGTGGGTTGCCTAGACCAGTTTTGACGTGACCCACCAAAAAGCTAGTGGTATCAGATGATTCGTTGGGCTACAGGTATCCCGGACGTATGTCCCCCGCTCGAGTATTATGTATCTTGAAAAGTGACATTATGTCGATTTTTTTGACAATATTGTTTTTTTGTGGCAATATGTAGGTTTTTCTACAAGTTGTTAACTTAGCACTAAACGTCATGAGGATTCAGTTATCAATGTTTGGCTCTGATGTGATGTAAAATTCAGAGATGGCATTACGGGAGGTAACGGCATGCAAAGTGAGGACTTGTGTGCGTGCTTATAATATGTGTTGATGATAATTCCCTTGGATTCTTAATTACACTAACTTGAGATTCAAAGTTAGAAATTAGTTGCGTATAAAGTTTTTCTTCCATTCTGAATTTCAGAAATAAGAGATAAGAAATAATTGCACTGTCGAATTACAAGTCATATACATGCTAACAGTAATTACCCACAATGCGGCGCGGTAGTGATTTCCCGTAATTTTCGTCAAATTTTTTGAAAACACAAAAAAACTTAAAATTTGTAACTTTGAACATAACCTGTCTTCAGAAATGACAACATAAAATTAACCCGTCGGGTACAGCATATTCAGTAATGATTTTCTCACACAGCAAATATCACCTAATTTAATACACATGCAGACCAATACACACAATCATCCAGATGCGATCTTGCTATTTGACCAACTTTCTTCTCAAAGATGAAAACTATAGACTACACGACTTCACAAAACGTATGCAACCAACAATGCGTGAAGTTGAGCCATTCCTCCATAGATGGACGCTCACAACGATCCTAGTGAGCAAACGTGGAATGACTCTTTGCACCCCAAAAACTACCTAGTCTGCAAGATGACGTTTTATACTTTTTTGACGTTTTATAGGTTTCTTACATAATACCCGTGCAGAAGATCCCGACCGTACTTTGACAGAGGAATCTGTCATAAACCTGGCTAGAGAGCTCCCTGAATATTAAAAAAAACTCGGTCTGGAGCCGAAAAGGAAATGGCGCGGAAGCGAAGTTGAAGCGCGGATGCCGGAGGGTATGGAAGATCGGAACACCATTTCTAGGGCTTTGTCCGATTGGGTTCAACCGCCATCCGGATAGGACTGTGCGCGATCCGGTATGTCATCGGAGGCCCTAAACCGGCCTAGCGACGGGAAACGACCCCGTACGGCGGCAGATGCACATATTAGCTATGCAGTATTGTATCCGATGTCTATCTCGGAAAACAAGACGACCTTAACTGCAAAAGGGTCTAAGTGCCAAAAATACAAAAAAAAACAGATTTTTGATTAAAAGATCGATGAACTTGTCAAAATCACTCTTGATAATCTAAACGCACCCCATCGCAACACCAAAGAGAAACGTAAAAATTTGGAAGACCTGATACCGTATATACCACCGACGATATATAGAGTGTATACAGTTATGGACAAAAGTCTATAGATAAATATGAAGATTTACCTAAATACCTTTAGAAAACGAATTCATACTTCATTGCTCCATAAACAAATGCGTTATTAGTAGAAAAGCTAAATTCCTTGTTTTTACATTATCTGCAATGAACACAATACAAGTCTGAATATAAGCACTTTTTTATGAGGGACGCGGTGGCCGCAATAGTTGACTCTTCGGTCTCCTGATCAGTCGCCGTGCTCTGTGCGGATTCGAATCCCATCCCAAGAGAAATTTTTCTCTTGGCTATCGATGTTGTGATTGTCCGTAGGGGGTAGACGGTGTCTGACTGTCGAACGCAGAGGTACCACCCGGCGGATCTCGTAGGCGGGGCCAGAATGTGTGCATGTTGCATGCACACGTGTTCCCTCGCCAGAGTCCGTGTGGCGTTCCCCTTTTCCCCTGTATCCCCCTATAGCCTCACGGAACCCCATGGGTGTTTAGGCCTTAGGCCTTCGTGGTAGTTGGAGTATATATAAAAGAAAACATCAGCCATACTACAAAAACTTGATAGAATTACAAAAAAATGACTGTGTAGCTTCCACTAGTTCTGGCACTTAGACCTTTTTGTATTGAATGATGATGGACTTAGGCCCTTTCACAAATGCCAAATTCAGTTTTCCATTTCGAAAAACAAAAACTCTGTTCTATGTATTTAAAATATGTTTGTACACTTATTGTGTCATATTTTTTTGAATAAGAAACGTTAATAAATATTTCGTTCATTATTTTTCCAAAATATATGTTTCATATCTATAACTTTTAAAATGCCTAAGTGGCACATAGACCCTTTTGAACTTAAGGTCTTCAATTCACCGAGGCACAGGTACAACAGGTGCAGGAAGCAGTCAGTGTGCTGATAGATGTGCTCCCAGATGAGGTGTCCCTTCCGATGTACATTGACTGCGACCCCTCTCGAGGGGCAGTCATCTTTATATGTGAGGACGAGTCCCCCATGGTATGGTTGGAGTCCCACGTGGGGATCTGTGGCCGTAAGAATGTGCCAGGCTCATTAGGATGAGACTTTTTGACCTTCCAGTTTACCACCGCGTGACGGTCTGGTTCCCCGGTCCCATCCTGGGGAACGAGGTCATCACGAGGAGGCTCAGGAAACATGATCCTGGTACATATCTTCTCTCCTCTCCAATCGCGCTTGGAGGCTGTTGGAGATGAAGGGGGATCCTAAAAGGGTCCGAACGTTTGTTGTGAGATATGAGGACGATTTTGATTGCCCATCTGAGCTTTTTCAGAAGCCTCAAGAATTTCAACTACCTGTTTCTGGATCGTAATTCGCCGAGATTTGAGCAAGATTTGCTCAATCTCCACCACAACTTCCTCGGAGATCGACGGCTTCCTGCTTCGTTGTTCATCGTGGATGATCCTACGGACGTCAGAGTACTCTCTTCATGACCATTTGAGGACACTGTTTTCCATATACTCCACTCAAGTGGCGATAAATTCCTATGGGTGAGCATCGCTAATAGAGATCGGTGGTGGGGGAGCCGACACACACGACGCTTTGCCAGATTTCACCTAGCATCACGCTAGGCAAAGATACAGCGTTGGTACTCGTTAGATTCATTACTTCAAAAACGTCTTGTGATAGGTCGAATTTGTGCCTTAGGCGCAAATTATGATTCCTGCTGGTTCATAGTAAAATCCGGTATGAGATGACTTTTTCAAAACACTGAACTGTCAATTTGATTCACTAGAATTCTCGTTAAAATTGGAAGTAACTGCCAGTTACCGTTCTTAGCTTTAAGCTAAAATTTCTGCTCATTTAGCTTACCTTTTATCTCTTTCAGCTCAGTTTTCAGCTCTTTAAGCTTTGTGGTGTTACAGGCTAGGTTTCACCTTATTCAACTAATGTTCTCTCAACTCCTTTTCTGCTAAATATTTAGCCCACTTTCCAGTTATTTCAGCCTATCCAGCTTGTTGACCTTCTACTATTTGCATCACTTATGTTCAATATCTCTGTCATTTTAGCCATATGAACAGCAGTACCTTCAACCGCCAACCAAAGAGTACTTCTTAGTGGACGAATATATGAAGATGGTGATCCAATACGGTTTCGTGGTATTTTTCATAGCAGGTTTTCCCTTGGCCCCAGCCATGGCGTTGGTCAGCAATATCTTTGACCTGAGGATACATGCATACAGACTCTCTAGGTGTTTCAGAAGGCCTATTCCTAAGAGAGTCGCTGGAATTGGAGCCTGGTTTGGGATTCTACAGGCTATTACATATGCTGGCGTCGTAACCAATGTAAGTATTAGTTTTGAAAACTTTGCAAATTTTGGTAACTCTTAAAATAACTAATAAAAAATAAAATTTTAGAAATGTTAGTAATTGTGGAAATTTTGGAAATCACGGATGTTTCTCAATTTTCGTAAACTTTGGCAATTTAGAAAATTTAGAAGTAGGGCAACAAGGTGTTTTAGAAAAACGGGGTCATATTTCTAAGAAATAAAGCCGATCAAAAATAACACGAAAAGTTTTGAAATGCCCCCTCTACACTAACTGCATAGCAGATATATAAAAAATGGTGCCTCATAGTGGCGTAGAAGTGAGGAAATTTGATGCCTAAAGAAGAGAAAGGAAAATTATTTTCTACGGCACTGACTATTTTAAAATGTCAATTGCATTTTTAAATAATGCAACTCTTCATGAATCACCTTTCTTGAGAAATTTTTGTCAGACTACTCCTTTTGGAGAAAAATTGGGCTGCATATTTGAAGTGCATCCGTATAAAAAACATCAACCCGTTCTATTTTGAAAATACGCTGAAGTTAGTAAATCTGACATTGAACAATATTTGCAGTGTATTAGGAGAGTCATCCTAAATTTTACCATATCTTTATTTGAAGACTATTCATGTTTTGTCCATTTTGAATATTATCAGTTGCGTAGAAATTTACAACACCCTGTATCTTGATAATGAAACACTTAAAGACCCATGCTTGCATGGATTTTTTTGTTATTTTTGGATATGATTTTTACTCTAGAAATATTGCCACATTTTCCTGAAACACCATGTATATCTCGAGCTTAAAACTATTACTCCAGCTAGCACAAGCACAGTATAATGACGGCCAAATTTAGTGTTAAGTCTTCAATTGACGTGATTGTTACGAGTATCGTAATGACGTCTACCAAACGTCCAATTGTGAACGTGTTCTGTAAAACGTTGCTATGACATGTATTTGAGGTGATGTTTTTGTTAATTTAGAATTAGTCTTACCGATTCAAAACGGCTTAAATCATTGGACAGAGAAGGTGCTATCTCATTCAATCCCTGATCCTTATTCGTAACAATTCGATATACAAGGTGTAAAGTTAGTAGTGGATCAACGGAAGTCAGGTGATAGAGGACCTCAAAATCTATCGAATGAACCCCCATATGTGTGGTCCGAAATTTTATAGTTCAGGCGATATTTGCAATTTTGTGAAATTTCGAAAAAAACGGGATAATGAACTTTCAATAGCAATTACAACTAAACCGTTAGGTTTAGGGCTGTGTTTTTTTTCTGAGATGAGCTAAATGGTTAGTTTTAACAATGGTTATGTCACTTTTCAACAGAGCTTATTAGAAATTAATGAAAAAAAAACTTAAATTAATTTTTTTTGTGAAAAATATCTTCCATCCCTCAACTTTGGAGGGCATGTTTTGAGTTCACTGTCGAATTACAAGTCATATACATGCTAACAGTAATTCCACACAACGCGGGAGCGGTGATGATTTCCGGTAATTTTCCTCAGTTTTTCGTAATTTATAACTTTGAACATAACCTCTCTTCAGAAAGCACAACATAAAAATTACCCGTCGGGCATAGCCAATAGATATACTTCATTGGCAGCATATTCAGTATTGATTTTCTCGCACAGCAAATATCACTTATTTTATACACATGCAGACCAATACACATAATCATCCAGATGCGATCTTGCTATTCAACCAACTTTCTTCAAAGAGATAAAAACTACAGACAAGGACCATTTGGTCTCACAAAACATATGCAACCAATAATGCGTGTAGTTTAGTTGAGTGATTCATCCTTAGATGGACGTTCACAACGATCCTAGTGAGCAAACTTGGAATGACTGTTTGCGCCCTAAAATCTACCTAGTTTGCAAGATAACTTCTTATTGGTTTTTTTTACGTTTATAGGTTTTTTACATGATGTCCATGCGGTAAGTGACATTAGGAAGTCAATTTCACGGTAGTTTTACCACAGCTTAGATAACAATCAGCTATGAAACTCTCCTGTCAGTGTCAAAAACGACCGCCATTTCGGCGGAGAAAGTCGAATGTAAATTCCCCCAGTGCAACGATGAAAGAGGTTCTAGTGCTCAGCAGCAGCCGGTGTTTCCACGTATCAAGCCAGCGGCCTCAGATATTCTTTGCAATCTTAAAATATTTTTATATGATATAGTGTACTGGTTGCTGCTGGGCACTAAAATCTATTTCATCTTTGTGCTGGAGGAATTTACATTCGACTTTCTCCGCCGAAATAGCGGCTGTTCTTGACCCTGATAGGAGAGTTTCATAGCTGATTGTTATTTAAGCTGTTTTACACGATTCAACTCGTGATTTCTCGTCATTTCATAACCATTATGTAACGTTTCACGTGCTTGTACTACCTGGGTGTTGTGATCTTTGTGATTCCAGGCTTTGGTGATCGCCACAACCAGCGAGTTTGTTCCCCAATTGATCTACCTGATTCGCAATGATTTTTCTCTGGATGGCTACGTAAACTCGACGCTTTCCGCATTTGCGGTATCCGATTTCCAAGCCTATAGTCGCACCGTGGATCCGCCAGAGATCTGTTACTATTATGGAAAAAGAAACCCACCAGGACATCCGCAGAAGTACGGATTGACTGAAGATTTTTGGTACACCTGTTGTATCAGGCTCCTCGTGGTAGTCGTTTTTGAGGTATAACAAACAGTGTGATAGATTGACTCGGTACTTTCTACATAACCACGTCTTTCATTTTCACGCCGTGGCATGGTGTACTATATGATATTCGTAGTCCATTTACGCAGAGGCACAACAAAGATGCAGTGCGGCAAAGCGGCAGCCGTCTATGCGTTGTAACAGCTATTGGTCATTCAGCCGAACAAGTGCAGGATTCGACAGGATAGAACTCAGGCCTGGGCAGTTGCTGTTTATATTCGATGCATACATAGCATGTGTTTATACGTTAGCTACGGATACAGCAGATGAAACTGAGAATATTTTTTCCAGTGCCTCCTTCAGCCATGCTTCCTCTTCAATGATGTCTCTTTCCCGAAAACGTGACAAGAAGGGACATTCGAATATTCAGGCAAAAGAAATTGTCCTTAACGTTTATAAGAGCGAAATCATGAAATGAAAATTCATGGTATTGAAAGACGTGTGGCGAACAAAACAGGCTTATGTCCTAAGACAATTTTCAACATTGTTACAGAATATAAAAAAACAAAAATCGTGTCCACCCTGATGTGAACAGGGTTTTTTTCAAGGGGATGGTTTTCACCAATTTGCAAAACTGCAACAAGACGCAACCAACTGGTGGAGAAAGGGTGATGATTCTCCCTGACGAAACGACCCCTGCACCACGACCTCAACAGAAACAGGTAAAAGCGAATCTCCCAAAACACGTAAGGTTCTAGAAGAAGGTATCTTGAGTGGCCTTGAAGAAGATATGTTTTATAGGAAACCAACTAACGGAGAAAAATTACAGAGTTTTTTTGCTGACCGTGAACACCATACTGAGTCGCTGAGAAAGAAAGATATAATACGAGTGAAATTATACAATCAATAAACTATTAAATTTGCCAAAATAAAATCATTGAAAAGGGTTTTCCCTAGTAACGGGTACTCTATTATCAATGAAGAGAATTTCAAATTACGGATAAGTAATAAATAGCAAAAAAAGGGTAAAGTGATTTTGGCTCGTGACAACCACACAATAGGTTGCATTACACGAAGCTGTTGGATACAGTTGATAACTTTGATCGGAAGGCCATCAGACGCAAAGTCCATCAATTTTTTGAAAGGCAGGAACTTTACACCTTAGACAAAGTAGTACAGGAGATTAATAGTGATGAAGACTTATCTACTTTCAAAAGGACCACATTCTATAGTTTATACAAAAGACATTTTGAGATGTATTATTATTGGTTTTCTTGAATTTTATATGATATAATTAGGGAAACGATTTTTTTTTTTTTTTGAGAAAGTGATCGACAGTCGAAGGTGATACTAGTAACGTCGCTCCTTAAATCGTAGGTTTTCCGGTAGTTTATAGTGAAGTGAAAATTGTGAAATCTGCCAGGAGTCGAGTGTTTAGTGCACTCTTCGTCTCGAATGTAAGATCTCCACCATTGCATGTCAAATATTTGAGTTATTGCACATTTCCTTATACTGATCAGCAATAAGTGTTATTTTCGTACATCACTGGAAAGCAGTAACAAAAACTATTTGCTCGAAAGAAATGGTATGTGTTTTTTAGATCAGTGAAATTAGGTCCATGAATTTGGTGTCATGGCACCTGGTATCGAGATCTGCAAGGTATGTGATGACAACTTTATAGTCAACGCGAAGGCCATCAGCTGCAGTATTTGTGTCACCAAATACCACACGTCCTGCGTTGTTGTCAAGGATAGTTGGCTGAAAATAATTGCTGAATGCGAAAATCTTCTTTGGCTCTGCGATGATTGTCTTTGCTCTATTAATAAAAACAAGATAACCTCTAAGGCCGAAACTACCTTGCTGGAAAAAGAAATTGAGTGTCTTTCTAGAGAACTGAATTTAACTAAAAAGCTAGTATCTGAGTTGGAGTACAGTAATGGGCTACAAAAAGAGGTGCTGAAATCTCATGGAAGCAAGATGGGGACATTTGAGTCTGCTGATTTGCCTCGTCCTAGTACTTTCAGTGATGTTGTGAAAAATTCACCCAAGCCTAAACTGGTCTCTTCTGTGCTTTTGGTGAAAGCAGGAGGCGAGCAGGTTGTTGATTCCAAAGATATTCTGCAAGAAGTCACTTCTTCTGTCAAACCTGGTGACCTGAATGTTTGTGTAAATGGTACAAAACTGATCAAAAATGGAGTTGCTGTTCATTGCAAAGACGATGAATCCCTAGCTGCCCTCAAAACTAGTTTGAGTGGTAAATTGGGTTCCAAATATTCCTTTTCTGAAGCTAAAAAGCTCAATCCACGGATGCTAATTAAGAACGTAAACCTGAATGGAATCAACACCCCTGAGGATATCTTGGATAGCATCGTTTCCTTGAATAGTTCTCTAAATATTCCTAAACACGATATTAAATACGTAACCAAGCTGAAGCATTTCAACAGCGTTAATGTCGTCGTTGATTTGACACCAGCCCTTCGTAAATCGCTTCTTCAGGAGGGGTACTTGTTCATTGGGTGGAAGAAGTCAGAAGTCTGTGATCACGTACGTGTTATGAAGTGTTTCAAGTGCTGCGCATTTGGCCATATTAGTAGTAATTGCAAATCTGATTTAGTGTGTTCTAAGTGTACGGGAAGTCATCACATTAAAGATTGTGTATCAAACACGCTTCAGTGCATAAATTGTCTGAACTATAATAAGCGTAATAAAAATAAATTACCCACAGACCATCCCACCAATTTCAGAAATTGTCCTATATACATAAACCATGTAAATAATCTCAAAAATATGATTCAATATGACTAATAGTAATAAGGGATTAATGAATGTATGTCATTTAAACGTTCGCCCCTTGCTGCCTTCTTTGGATGATTTTTTTGCAATAACGCGTGATAAATATGATATTATTGCAATTAGTGAATCATGGTTAAACGATTGCATTGATGATGGTGCAGTATCAATGAATGGCTACAGTTTATTCCGGAAAGATCGTGGAGCTAGGGGTGGAGGTGTTGCTTTGTATGCTAGGTCATATCTCAATTGTACTTTAGTAGATACGAACCCTATCGACTCGGGTGCGTTGGAAATACTTTGTTGTCAATTCACTATATCTAGTAGCGGATATCTGATAATGCTCATTTATCGCCCTCCTAATTGCTCTATAAACGATAGCATTACCATTTTGGATAAGCTCCTATCATTTTTCAGCCCTCAGCACGACAATATCATAGTATTAGGTGATATGAATGTTGATCTGTTCAACCCAAGTAACCCACTTAGTGCATGTTTTGATTGTTACAGCTTTGCGCAGGTCATTGACGAGCCTACCAGGGTAACCCAATTGAGATCTACTCTCATTGATCCAATTTTCGTCAATAACTCAGACACTGTTTCAAAAGCTGGTGTAGTTAATGCAGATATTATTTCTGACCATAAGTTGGTTTTTTGCGAATTCCGCGTTGTAATTAAGAAACCCCTACCGCGATTTATCACATATAGAGATCTTAAAAACATTGACATAGTCAGCTTTAAGACTGATTTAACTCGAATGAATTTGGATAGAATTTTTTATGTCAAAGATATAGAACAAAAAGTATGTATTTTAACGGAATCATTTACTATTTTATTTGATGCCTATGCGCCTGTCAGAGTTGCTCGCGTCAATAAAAAAGCCGCACCCTGGTTAACAGCTACAGTAAAACTTATACTTAAACAGAGGGATACTGCCTTAATAACTTTCAGACGTACTCCCAATCAAGAAAACTGGATTTACTACAAGGAACTAAGAAATTATGCTTTAGCGTCAATAAGGAGGGAAAAAAAGGCTTACCTATCACATATTGATAACTTGAATACGCAGCAAGCTTGGAAAACCCTTGAAGATATGAGTATCTGTCGACGGAAAAAAACTGAAAATCCAGATGATCTACTCGAACCAGACTCTCTGAATGATTACTTTTTATTGAACTCACATTCTGCTAATATGAACTCGAGGCTAATTGAGTCTACAATTCATAAATATGATAATTGCTCCTTCTGCACTAATGTTCCTTCATTTAATTTTCGCTACGTTGACCAGCATGAAGTGCTGGATGTTTTAACTTCTATCAAGTCAGAAACATCGGGTTGTGATGGACTTAGTCGTAAAATGATACATCTCTGCTTACCAGAAATTTTGAGTCACATTACTCATATTATGAATGTGTCCTTAGAGACAGGGATTTTCCCAAGCTGCTGGAAGGAAGCTATCGTTTTGCCTTTGGCGAAGGTAAACAGCCCCTCTGAGTATTCTCTCCTACGGCTCATCAGCATGTTGTGCTTTTTGTCGAAGGTTTTAGAGAAAATTGTCTACATACAGCTGGCCCACTATTTTGAACAAAACAATATGATTCCTCAATATCAGTCTGGTTTCCGTACAGGGCATAGCACAACAACCGCTTTATTAAATATTACGGATCATATCATCAAAAATGTCGATGATCAGATAGGAACAGCTCTGATTCTGCTAGACTTCTCTAAGGCCTTTGATATGGTACATCATGGTATTCTCTTGAGTAAGCTCAAATTTTATGGTCTCTCTGACAAGCCACTACGTTTCTTCGATTCGTATTTGCGCAATCGTACCCAGAAGGTGAAAACACGTAAGGGAGTTTCTTCGGCAAAGAGTGTGGCATCTGGCGTACCTCAAGGCTCTGTGTTGGGACCATTACTCTATTTAGTTTATACCTTTGATCTACATACTTGCCTTCAGCACTGTAATATTCAAACGTATGCAGATGACACGCAGCTAACTCTGTCTTTTGATTCCTCGGACATGCATGAAGCATCATATAAATTGAACTTGGATCTCGTTAACATTGAAGAGTACTGCAAAAGACATTGTCTGAAGATCAATGCTTGAAAATGTTCCACCATGCTATTTGGCCCAAAACAGTTAGTACAACGGTTAGATGGCACAAATGTTCCTAATATTAACGAAACCCATATTCCTATAGTAGACCATGCGAAGTATTTAGGGATCACCATGGATTCAGATTTGAGGTTTAAACAACATGTTACGCATTTATCTCGCTTAACATACATGCGTTTGAAGTTATTATACACCAATCGCCATATTCTGAATTTCAAGACTCGCAAAAAACTGGCTGAGACTCTGGTTCTATCGTTAATAATTTATGCAATTGCTGTTTACTTTCCTTGTCTTGATTACGTGACTAGATATCGAGTACAAAAAATTCAAAATAGCTGCTGTAGGTTCGTTTGCGGTCTGCGAAAGTTTAGCCATGTGTCTAAGAAGATCAATGAGCTTAGATGGTTGAGGGTTGACCAGCTTTTCACATATAACTTGCTAATTCTAGTACAACGAATAAAAATCAATAGGCTACCTACTTATCTACTAAACAGGCTGGTACCACGTGGGGATCTCAATTACAGGAATCTGAGACATAACTCTGACTTTCATATACCTAGTTATAGGAGCAACATTTTCCATCGTAGCTTCACCTACAACGCTGTCAAGGTGTATAATAGTCTTAATGACAATTACAAAAACATGGGAATACTTGCATTCAAGAGAGCCATTAAGAACCACCTTCTGGGGTCTGCTAGACAAGCTGGCTGATATTTTTATTTTTTTTGTCTTTATTGTTTTTTTTTTGTTTATTATTAAGATTAATCTATTTAAGCTTAATTATTGTATATATTATTTAGTCGATTGCTATTCATTGTTATGTTTTTCCTTTTGTATGTGTTCCTGCTCTGTGAGGTTAAGTGGTAGAGTAGCCAACTGGCTAAACTTCGCCTCGCAGTGTGGAGGGATTAATAAAGACATTATTACTATTATTATTATTATTATTTGTTATCTGTCACATTGGCAGTAAAGATGGCCATGTGCCCACTGCCCCATGGGCATTTGAGTTAGAGAAAACGACGGACTACCAGGAAGACATGGGCGGGAGTTCATTTGTACGATGGTTTGACGAAACGCTCCCAAAACTTGACGACAATACCGTCATCATACACTAGAACACTAGAAAAAAATCCACAAGAAAGGCAGAAATTCAACAATGGCTCCTATCAAAAGACACTAGTTTCAATGAAAATATGTTCAAAGCAGAATTTATCTATCTAGTCAGGCAGCACAAATATGAATATAAACCTTATGTTATTGACGAAATGGCTAAAAACCAAAACAAGACTGCCCCTTATCACTGCGAAGGAAATCCCATTGAAATGATTTGGACAAATATAAAAAACTATGTGGCTTCAAACAATAGAACATTCAAATTTTCTGACGTGAAAAATTTGTTTTATGAAGCTGTCAACAGAGTGGTGGCAAACCATTGGAAAGATTACATTCGTCATGTTCAAGAGACAATCGAAACAAAGATGTGGGATCTGGACAATATGATCGATATTCAAATTGAAATTGAACCAATAATAATTAATATTAACCATTCGGACGATGAATCAAGTACTTTCAGCGAATAAAGTATTGTGGAAAATATGTGCACTTCTTTCTATAAAAATATTTATTTTGTTAGATTATTCCAAGACCATTGGGGAAAATACGGACCTGTACAATCTCGCTTTTGGGCATGTTGTATTTTGTCTGGGCGTGAATGGACTACGAATGGGGTATAAGCACCATTCCAAGTACAAAAACGCGTTTTCTGATTACGAAAGGTGGCCGTTTCGTATATACAAATATTATTAAATGACCTCATTTGAAATAGTATTGTCGAGAGCTTAACGATTTCGCTCTTTAGTCATCAAACTACTGGTTGTGGAAGAGAGGGAGGTGTTGGAATAACACTATTTCCAGAGAAATCTCGTTTAAGGGCAATTTGGCTACGCTAAACTCTATTGAAATGTTATTTATGCAACGTTGAATCAAATACGGTAATTATATGTATATTCAGATTCTTGCGTTACTATTGGCCAGTAGCTGGCCCGGAACAATGTCAATATGAGCGGGAGAGGTAAGCAACCAAGCAGTCGCTTATATTTTGACGATATAAAAATGTCATTTAATGAGTGTATAAAATACCTTTTAATATTAACAACACGGATCACAAAACTTGGAAAATAAGAGAACAGCAGTTGCTGCTGTTCGGAATTGAACTCGGTACCTTCAGTCTACAAGGCATTCTTCCACTGACTAAAATAACTGACCGCGAGTTCATCGTTTTTTTACTCTTTTTATCTTGAACACGTGCCACACATACAATCTAAATAGGCGCAATAACTTCAGAACCTATTATTGAGTGTATTTACAAATTATCACCCGAAACTGTTCACAATGAACAAAATTTTACGGTTTGAACAAACATTTTGTAACTTTTTGTACCTGTCCATGAAATATAAATATTATTCAAACAACACAACGTGTAGAGGAAACGTGTTAAAAAATTTCAATGAAATATACTTTCAACTCTTCGTGCTGTTATTATCCAGGTTTTACATTGAATTTTCTTCAAGATATGGGTAAATAATGTGAGGGAAATTTGCTTGAAAATAATGCCCAAAAAAGTTAAACTCTGTTGTGCTAGATTTTCTTTTCAAGAAAGTAGCTATTTTTTATATTTCAGTTCCATTATTTTACAATAAATGGAAAATGAAAATCTACAAGATATTTTTGATGATTTTGAAAAGATGTGTGACCTAAAATAGCACTTTACCTCAAAACATTGTTTGCTTACTATGAAAAATATTTTCCTTCAGATATTTTTTTTGGAGCAATTTTTATTAAGTCACGTAAAAGCTAAGCTCTTTCTGTACACGATTTGTGATTTTCATTAATCATGTTGGTTGGTAAATGACTCAAAAAACTGTTTTATCCATCAGGTAGCTCAAAAATCCCTCATACAACATTTACGTATGGCCTAATGGGAGCTCTAAAAGTATTGGCATAGTATCGCAAACGAACGCTGATATAGAAATTTCGTAGAATTTATTTATTAAGCCACGAAATTGTTTGATCAACTTTTTTTCTATAAGTGATATTCACAGGACTGTAACAGAAAACCAAAAGTTAAACAGTTCTTCAAAAATTACGTATTCTTTCTGCCGCGATTTCTCCCAGCACGAAGATATGTAGGCTGCTCGACATTATCGGCCACACTGCCCAGAATTGGCAACCGATGGTCGTTCCCTCGGACTGTTAGGGGACGCAACAATCATGTACAGTTTTTTGCTTCAAAAACACCGTACTTCACCTTGACGAACAAAAAGCGTCCAAGCGCTCATCCGGTTTCGACGTATCGCCGAGATCTACCAAAGAGCCGTTCATTTCGGCTAGTCGGAGTCCAGATCACCGAGGACTTGATCTGGCACGAACATCTATTTAATAGCGGCAGCTGCTAGGAAAAAGCGAGGCTATTTGCTTAGGGCTAAAAAGTACTTTTCGCCACATGACCTCCTCACTCTATACAAGACCTAGATAAGACCTAGCCTTGAGTATTGCTCACATGTTTGGGGTGTCGCCACCCCGACCACAATATCCATCTCCTCTGTCCCTAGGATATCGAGATTGGGGAACAATCTACAAGAGGAGGCTTTTTCCTGTTCTACTAACAGTAGGCAGTTCAAAAATCGGATTCACAAAGTTTCTTTGGGATTCTCATAGCAGCCACGGTGCCCTGGTATTTATATTTATTTTTAGGCTTCTGCGGTCTAAAAAAGTGCAGCAGTACCCCCTTCGTGACTGGAAGAGGCTTGCCAAAATTTTTCTTTTCTTGCACTGTATAACAATATTTTCTAGCACATCCTGATGTTTGCGAACAGTATGATGGCCTACGCAATCCCTGACGTTCCTCAAGAAACCAAAGAACAAATAATTATCAACCAGAAGGAAGAAAGAGAGGTCAGAGTGAAGATGGACATTGAGCATCTCAAATTTCCAAGCTTATCGAGAAGGACAAACGTCATATTATAAAATATTTACATATTTTTCATTTAATCATTAAAAAATGAGTTGTACGATTGTGTTTAATTATGTTACTATTTATAGTCAAAACAGGCAAGCGACCTTGAGAATACGGGAAAACCCATCGAGAACTGTCGCAGAACGCCTGTTGAGCGTTATACAACCTGCAGCTCCCAATTTTCAACCTATACAATTTTTTTCTGAAAATGATCAGGAGCCTCTGAAACGTCAAAAGTCTAAGCTCTCTTAACTTTGTTCGTATCTTGCCCCTAGATTCGCCGCCACTAGACCGATATTTTCATAAACTGCAAATTTTTTCGTCCTTGGCATAGTAGTAACTTTGTGTGAAGATTTCAACATTTCAACATCTTGCTGCGTATTTTGAAATCGTATTTTGAAATAACCCTGTATAACATCCAAACCAAATTAAAAGAAGTTAAAAATAGGTTGGGGGTGGTATATCCTAATGAATTCGTTTTGCAAAGGGAGGGCGTTACCAGACAGTATCCGTCTTCATGATTTAAAAATAGGATATTTAAGGCGTCAAAGCGAGACAAAAATAAAGGATTTTGCTTTAATCTCGGGCTCGCTTTCTTTTTAATGTCTTCTGCTGACAGGAAAGTTTATTTTTACATAGGTATGTCATAGCGGAATATATTCTAACGGACTATATACAGCGTGTTATCTCCAATATTACACAACTCAGGGAATATGAAATGATAACCCAGGCTAGATAGAACAATAAGAACATTTGACATTGATCTATGATGCTAGAATACGTATAGGTAGGTGATTTCACTATTTTGGGCGGGTTACATTACAACTATAAGAATTAGTTTCATTACCCATCTCTCTCACGCGTTCATGTGTAATTGGCTTCCATGCACGGACGACAGTGTAAGCTCATAAACATACGTTCTATTTTCCACTATTTACTTTGTTATCGCAAAAAAAAAATCGAAAATGAAACTTTGTTTTTTGGGTGTTGTATGACATGTACATCGCTCATGTCCCTGGATCTGTCGGTCTGTGTGCCGGTCTGTCTGTCCGCTAGTCCTTGGTCCGTCTATCAACGAAATTTTGATGAAATTTTCACACGAGATAATTACCACGCCAAGGACGAAAAAACTTAGTAGTTTTTGAAAATAATTGGCGGCGGCGTGAGGGGTAAAAAATCGGGGTTTGGGAGTTGCAGGGTGGTGGTGCTGGTGGGTATATCTATTTTGTCTGCTGTATATTTATACGTTTCCAACCCCAGTAATTTTACAATACAGTCTGTAAAAACCAAAAGTTCACGAATTTTGACCAAGGTTGAAAGTCGCTTTTAAATGAACTAAGCCAAAACAGTCTTCGGGGTCTTGTAGAGTAAGTTATTTTTTATCGAAACTTTAAGCATTGATAATAATTATTTTAGTCTTTTTCACACGTTAAATCGCTTTATGTTTGTAGCTAAAATTGTTAGGCACTCCTCTACGTTGACCGTGTAAAATACGCCGTTTCCGTTAATTTGACCACTGTTCAAAGTGAAGTACTTTTCGTCATCTAAAATAATGATTTTTCGACAACATCTTGGTAAACCAAGGAGTTGTGCTTGAGAGTATTTGGGGCACTTAAGTCTCGTTCGTTATTCAATACCTTTCCTCTTCAATTCCAACGATATCGTACTTTTAGAAGATCTGTAATGACAAGCCAGTCTCCTTGTTGACATTCCAACCAAATTTTCTCCTCTTTTCACCAATCTTTCTGACCTCTATGCAGTAAATGCAGATGGTCTCCCACTTTTCTCCCGACTACCCAACTAACAATTATATCTCACGTCCATTCCGAAGATGTATTTAACTAAGGTAGTACGCTCATGCGTACTGCGCGCCACACATTTTTAAGATGAATAGTAGCGCGAGCTCGGATATGTTCTTCCCGCTCGCCGCCGTCCGCTGTAACTGCCTCCCCGTTTCATTCGCTTTTATGTGTGCGTCGCGTCCACACGTGTAGTTTCAGTGCCCGGCTCCGCAACAGACGAAAAACCAATAGTACAGGTATGATAGTATTATTTTGCTATTCACGACATTCATAGAATGTTCTGTTACATCAGGATAATACGAAATAATGATATTTTTATTGGCACAGTCCCAGATTTTTCTTTTGCATTTTCTCAATTTCACGAACAAGGCTTCCTAGTTTATTTGCTGTGCATTTAATGTTAATTCGAGAAAGTGAACTATTATATACTAATCACGTTAAAATCGTTCTGGTGAGCAACTATTTCTCCACAGGGCTTGTTTTACAGCATGGGGAAACGCAAGAGAAGCCGATCCAGCGACAAACTATCGCGTAGAGACTTACAAAAAACAATTAATGAGCTTCGCGATAGACTAAACAGGCAGGAGCGAGATCGTAGGTCCCATTCACGTCGGCACAGTCGAAGCATTTCTCCGAGGAGGCCCCGCTCTAGTTCGCGCAGTCGATCCTTAGTACAGGACCGTACTTCGATAAAAAGAAGGGGGGTGCCAGATTCGGAGGATCGTAACCACAATTATACGACTCGGAAACGTCGAACTTTGGACAAACCGACTTCCGAATATCAATACTCTAGGAATTCATCGAGAGAACGTCGGGTTTCGCACAGCCCAACTTCCAATCGATACCAAAATCCTAGAAATACATCGAGAGAGCGTCGGGTTTTGAACAGCCCGACTTCTTCACGATTTTCAAAAGAAAAAATAGACCGACGTAGCATGAGCCGAGCCTCGTACGACTCGGCGAGTGTCACCAGTGGTAGAAGCCCGGCATCGAACTGTCCGGCTATAAACCAAGACCATCCGGAACTGGATGACCTAGATACACTCGTACTCCAAGACGACATAAATTTACAAGCTGAAAACACTGAGAATGAGGCGGAGCAACTTCCAGAGTGCATTAAAGAGGTATTAGGCATTGACACTGACACAGAAACAAAACAGTCCTATCATCTCAATGATGCTATAAGACAGGTTTGGTCACAAACAATAGCCCAAGGCATAGGAAAGGAAAATATGGATCAAATTTTGGATCGCCATAGGCCTCCCAATAATTTTCCTACTCTTGATCCTCCAAAAGTCAACCCGGAAGTTGCTCACATTCTTTCTCAAGCATATGTTAAGAGGGACCAATGCCATGCAAGATATCAGCTATTGGTGGGAAAAAGTACAAGTGCGCTTGGCAAATGCATGAATTATGTCATCAATGAAATCAAGAATAATGTTGATTCTGATCTAAAAATGCACTTGCTACCACATCTAGCAGATGTGGGCACATTCATGACCCAGCTATTCCATGAGATCTCGACGACCCGTAGGGAATATATTTCACAACTTCTCTCCAAATCGGTGAAAGATACCATCAAAGAGACTATTCCGGGGGAATATCTATACGGCACCGATTTGGCAGAAAAGATTAAAATGGCAAAAATTGCAGAAAAAGCTGGGAACGACTTAAGACAAGACGGTTATAGCAACAAGGCAGGGCCATCCGGCATCAGAAGAGGGGGGGGGCACACCTCTCAGCGCCAGCATGGTACCTCCAAAACTGCATACAATGCTCGTACTCCATATAAAGCGACTAGCTACCGCCCGTCTTTAAACAGGCAACGCCCGCCTCGCCAGTCAGGGAGGGACTCGGGGCCGAGGAAAGGGCAAACCTCCAAGCAAAGTCGCCCCCCAAGGAGCAGATACCAATAAAGGCAAGTCATTCTAAGCTAGCGGGCAGACTATCCCATTTTGTCGAGTCTTGGAAATGTATAACGAACAATTCCACAGTTCTATCCTGGATTAAGGGATATAAGATCCCTCTCTTAGCAACACCTGTTCAGAAACAGAATCAAACTGCCCACACTCAGTGCGACCCTTTGATTGCCTTGGCAATCAGGGAGCTACTAGATATCGGAGCAGTATCATCATGTACGGAGAGGAAAGACCAGTACGTTTCAACTTACTTCCTAACTGAAAAATCCAACGGAAAGAAACGGTTCATTTTAAATTTGAAAAAATTTAATGAATTCGTGAAATACGAGCATTTCAAAATGGAAGATTTTCGGACAGTACTAAAACTATTGCAAAAGCAATACTGGATGGCAACCATCGATCTAAAAGACGCATACTTCCTAATATCAATAGACAAATCATTTAGGAAGTATTTGAGGTTCAGGTTTAATTCTAATACATTTGAATTCAATTGCTTACCATTTGGTCTCTCGTCAGCACCGTACTGTTTCACAAAAATAATGCGACCCGTCCTGGAAAACCTGCGTACTCAAGGGATTCTGTTGGTCAACTATTTGTTCATAGGCACCTTAACCGCAGCCTGCCCTGCGGTTAAGTACGGCTGGTTGTACACCAAGCGTTTGGAACAACTAAAGTGCTCAGCTCTAGAAGCGAACAACTACAACTATAATTGTATAGTAGTCTTACCACATAACTTTATAGATAATGACCTAATCTGGTGGGAGCGAAACATCTTAAATGCGGAAGCCGATATTAAACAGACAGGCTATAGTATGACAATATTCACAGATGCCTCACTGACTGGGTGGGGTGCATGTAGAGGACACGACAAAACCCATGGGTTTTGGTCCAATCCAGAAAAAGATAATCATATAAATTACTTAGAACTTACAGCTATTCTTTATGGCTTAAAATGTTTCGCCCGGGATGCAAGGAACTGCAGTATTCTGATTAGATCAGATAACACGACGGCAATATCTTGCATCAACCGTTTGGGCAGTATACAATCTACCAAGCTCAACAACAGAACGCGAGACATCTGGGAATGGTGTCAAGCCAGAAATATTTGGGTATTCGCTTCATACGTCAACACAAAGGACAATCTGGACGCAGACAGGGAGTCCAGAGTAGTCTCAACCGAAACAGAATGGTCTCTGGCAGATTCAGCATTCGATGTTTTAAAACACGAATTCGGATCTCCTGACGTTGACCTTTTTGCCTCAAAAATAAATCACAAATGTCGA